AGATGACGTGGTTTATAACAATGTAAATCATTCAAAAGCAAAACTAATATGATGTTGCTCAATTAATAACAAAATAAAATGAAGGAAGATAATATATATTAACCATCTAAAGGCAAAACTAAAGTATAAAAGAAGAAAAGAATGAGATAATTTAAACCATAAATCAATTATTCAAGGACTAGAAATAATTGAAATGATATGATTTAACGAGAGAATAGAGATATAACACATTAACTATACCTAGTGAGACCTAGTGAGGATGAACTTCGTAGATATATAAGAATTTGATTCGTTGGATATATAATTATTGGGTACTAATGGGAATCTTTAATTTCTTCTTGCTCGAACGATTCGTTGTGTTCCTCGATCGCGATCGTTTTTTTTTTCAGGGGGCCATGCATGCATTGTGTCTCTGATTCTGGGGTATGGGTAGTTGATTAGGCGTCTTACTAGCCAGCAATCGTTGCTCCATGGCTGGGTAACACACTAGCAGAACATTACGTATGGTACATCATCATATGCATCTTTAATTTGCATATGACCTCTATTATTTTGCTGTTTAGTCAGAGCTTAGTATAATTTGTCTGCTTAATTATATGATTATATCTGTACACATGTACGGGAGCATAGTGTGTACGTGCAACTAATTATACAGTTTAGTCGTTTAGATGAATTAATGGTGTTGTTAGAGAGTGTGACTGATCTGACCATAATGCAAGCATATGTACACGAGCGTTGTGAATATGACCGATGATCCGATCAATCATCAGTGGAAATGATCGATCTCTATCAGCTATAATCAATAGTGTGTTGAACTATTTTGATGAAGTGATGAAGCATATGCAGTACACCTAGCTAACTTATCCTGGTCCTCCTCCTGCGGTCAAATCATATATATGCCATTCAATTCGCCGCATCTAAATCGGATTCATTCCGGCCTTGGCTTACACATAAACAGCGATATGCGAGACGAGTGAATTTTGCATGTATATATATGAATTGTTTGAGGAATGGAAACCATTTCATTAGCGCGCGCGGTACGCTCTATCGAGCACATAGACAATGCGGTTTTTGAAAAACTTTATGGATTTTCATGGCTCGAGATGACATCCCTCTTGTTTTATGCATGTTACCGAAATAGTTAATACACCTTTTAAAAAAATAGATTAATATAATATATATGACTCCACAAACATGTAATGTTAATTAAATTCAATTTCTACACAAATTAAACTGAAACTAGTACAAAGTATATTCATAATTATAGGCTTTATTTTGTTACAACTTATAGAAGACGACTTTAAACTTATATATTTACGGAGTAGCGATAAATCTTATATTATTTTATTTGGTCAAGTTGTTTTCAATCTTTTAATAATTATTCAAGTGACAAGTAAGAAATGAGAGAATGTCCTCGAGAAATGAAAACATTCATATGATTTTATTAGAGAACTATAGAATTCATTTTTAAAATTTATAATATTTAATTAATTTATTTGTATCTCAAATCATTATTATCACAAATTATTCGACTATTCATTGAAAAAAAACACCAATAGCTCCAAGCATGTATTTGGTCTATGCAGTCTCTGTGCGTGCGTATTTACCTACTACCTTCATCCAAAAATAACTTTATTTTCACTCATATCTCACACGTATCAATAGACAAAACAAAAGCACTAAAATATCCTCTAAAAATTGTCAACTTTCAATTTAATTGTTCCTACTTTATCTAACTCAATTGCATTTTATCTCTATTTCTACAAATTTAAATAAACATGGTTGTTCAAAAACTAATTTATTTTAAGATAAATAAGAGGGATAAAGATATTTTATTTTGATAGGGGGGAAACTACCACTGCATGTACCCCGTTATTATTGCACGTACGCGGGTTCACCAGGCCCCGACCGGCTGTAAGCAGGGGGCCAGGGGGGAGCAGTAGATCGCCGACCAGTGAAAAGAAAGATTCGATCTTCTCGAGGGAATTCAGGATTTGGCCGGAGGCGGCGGCGGCGCCGGGTGCGGTGGTCGTCGTCGTCGCAGCGATTACCCACGCGGCAGTCGGCGCGCGCACGCACGCACGTACGTGTACGTGTGTATGTACTTCCTCCGTTCCACGAAAAATAAATCAAAAATTGAACTCGACATATTCTAAAACAACAAATCTGAATAGATAAATGCTCAGATTCGTTATACGTACACATTCAGTATTAAGGCTGCGTTCCCAACCCTCGCTCTCTGGTACGGAAAACGAAGCAGTAATTAGCACGTGATTAATTAAGTGTATTTATTATTTTTTTAAAAATAGATTAATATAAATTTTTGAGCAACTTTCATATATAATTTTTTTAAAAAAACATACTCCCTCCGTACTCGTAAAGAAAATCATTTAGGACAATGTTTAAATCAAACCTTAGGAATATAAATCATGAATAACTCTCAAGTTGTTGAGTTTGAAAATATAAAAATTATATGAATAGATTTGTCTTGGAAAATACTTTCATAAAAGTAATATATATCACTTTTCAATAAATACTTTTATAGAAATAAGATGTCAAAGTTGTGTTTTGGAGACCGTGTCGCTGTCCAAAACGACTTCCTTTACGAGTACGGAGTCGTACCGTTTAGCAGTTTAAAAAGTGTGCGTGCGGAAAACAAAGAAGAGAACTCTATGCCGGGACTAAAGATCATATATGCTCGCTGTAGCCACCAATGGGGACTATTGTGGATTTCGGCCGACCTATCAAAGATGATTTCTCCACCAGTGTAAGTTAAAAATCTTTGATATCGAAAGCAGCCTAAGTTAATTTTTTATGGGGACGAAAAGAGTATATGTGTAAGGTGGACAGAAAATTAATCTCAAAACTAAGCCCAGGTATAGAGGATTTAGCCGGCGCCACATTCCATCATCGTCCGTCGACAAAGTCAAACAAATTCAGGCAGGAAGAAGCAGCAGTTTGATTTGCAGATGGATGGAAGGGATCCATATCAGACGGCCGGTGTGTGTGTGTGACGTACTGCCAGACTGTCGCTGCCCGAATCATCGTGTACCCATCCCATCCATGCGCCGATCCATCCATCCAACAGCTGCACACACATCTCCACATGCGTCATGCGTGCGGTTGACTATAGAGGTCCCGTGCGCGTTGAGACGGTCACCTAATGCTTTTGCTTGCGCCCGTTCCGGTGAACATTGCTGTCTCTGCACCCACAACTCTCTCTCTCTCTCTCTCTCTCTCTCTCTCTCTCTCTCTCCCTCCGGCTATAGAAATACTCTACTCTCTCCGTATTTCATATGCTTCGTGTCAAACATTTGAGCGGCGAACATAAACATCTTTTCGAATATTTCAGTTGGGTATATGAAAATTTTAAAACGATACCAGTATCCAAAATGGATATCACAAATATCACATATATATTTTTCAGATCCGATAATGGTTTCCAAATTTTCAGTACAATGTGGTTTACGCTGCATATTTTCCTAACTAATCTGCCAAGCTAAGTTGCTTACAGATATATAGGGATAATGGTGGGCATTCAGTTAGAACAAAAATTTTGGTCTTTCGATCAGTTCGTTCATTGAAAAATGAAGACCGAATAATAGTGTAAAATTATCAAAACCGGTAAATTTGGTCTCGGTCTGGTCTCGGTCATGACCGAAATAATCAGAAGACAAACTAAGAAAATCCTCATAAAACCACATGAAAATCATCCAAAAAAATCAGAGAGGATTGGAGGCTAGGTCGTATTCTCAGTCAATAGCCCCTCAGCTAATCTCCAATTATCGTCATCGTTGCTTGCGCCCTCCTGCTCCGCTGTCGCTAGAGGGGAGGGAAAGCCACCAGCATGAGTGCGACGTGGTGAGGGGAGGGAAGGCCGAAGTGGATGACTGAAGGGGGAGTCGGAGGCGGGCTATATGGTGGTGGCACGGTGCGAGTCTGCGAGGAGAAGACACAAGCATGACACAGTGCGAGGAGGGATGCGCGAGCGCGGTGCGAGGAGGAGCCGTGAGCACGGTGGCGTTGAAGCGCCGTGGGGTTTGTTGAAAAGGGAATGGGTAGGAAATTAGGTTTTCTTCGCTTGGAGGGTATTTCGGTTGTCCAGTTAACCAAAACCAATGACCAAATTGACCAAATAAATTACAGTTACTTTAGTATGAAGACCGAATTTATGATCAAAATTCTTGGTCTTCTTGGTCTCGGTTAGTTCGGTTCGATCTTTTTCTGCCCACCCTTAGTAAACGATATAACCAGGAGTAGGGTAGCTAGATCTAGAGCCATATTCCTAGCCCTAAATACTCATTGAAATAACACTAAATTTAAAAAGTTTAGAAGAAAAACAACAAACCTATAAAAATTACTTCGGTTGAGTGCTGGTTCGAGAAACTTTTAGTACCCCTTTGATTTGGAGGAAAAACATAGGAATTTTGGAGGATTTCAATTCTATAGAAAAATTTCCTATGAAGTCCTTTGAAATAAAGGATTGAATCCTATCCAATCATTTGAAATTCCTATGGAATGGACAATCCTATAGAGATTTTGGAGGAAATTTAGCAAGAGCTCCAACCTTCTGGAAATTTTCCTTTGAGTCTATCTCTTTCATCAAATTCCTGTGTTTTTCGTGCGGTTGAATCAAACGGTTATTCATGTTTTTCCAATCCAGATGCAATCAAACGGTCATCAAACGGCCCTACCACGGCATACAGATACAGTCGAGCTTCAGGGGCTCAGGGCTTCCAGCTAGCCAGCCAGGCTCACCTGCTCTTTACACGCTGAGTCCGAGACGGGTCAGCGTCGCCACCGCCACCGCGCGCAACACGAGCGCGCCACGTGTACCGCTGGATCTTCGCGCATACGGACCAGTACTACGCTTTTCCGCATCCGATGGCGCCCCGGGTGGGTCCCACCACCCCCCGACTACTCGGTCTCTCTCTCTCTCTCTCTCGCCGCCGACTCGCCTCACCCGCCGCTATATATATTGCCCCTCGCCTCCCCCCTGCCACCTTGTCTACTTACCTCATCTCATCTCACACCAAAAACAACCAATCCAAAGTTCCAAACCACCACGACGACGACGAGCTAGTTGTTAGCTACACCGATTTGGTGCCAGCGACAAGGTGAGTGAGCGTTGAAATGTTGCTGTTCGTGGTGATTGGATTGGAATGGTTTCTTGTTCTTGGTTGTTTTGGGTGTCGAGGATGATATTTTGGTTGGTTTGGTTTGGTTTGGTTTTCAGAGAAGATTTTTTGGATTGAGGTGATGGGGGTGCTCTTCTCGTGCCCGGTGGACGATGAGACCGCGGCGGTGGAGGACGCCGCTCCGGTGGCGGAGCAGGCGGTGCTGAAGGCGTCGCTGGGCTCCGGGGGGAGGCTGCGGATCGAGGGGTCGCTGAGCTTCAAGACGAGGGAGCAGCAGAGTCTCCAGGTGGAGACCAAGATCCCCGCCGTCACCTCGCCGCGCGCCGCGCCGGCGCCGATGCCGAGGGAGCTCCTCCGCACGCGCTTCGCTGATGCCGCCGCCGCCGCCGCGCCGGAGAGCCCCAAGCACGAGGCCGCGGCGGTGACGCTGCAGAAGGTGTACAAGAGCTTCCGCACCCGCCGCCGCCTCGCCGACTGCGCCGTCCTCGTCGAGCAGAGCTGGTGCGCCCCCCTCCCCCCAACCAAATCAGAAACCTCGCCGCCGCCGCCGCCGCCATTGCTGATCCGCCGCGTGTGGAATTCGCAGGTGGAAGCTGCTGGATTTCGCGCTGCTGAAGAGGAGCTCGGTGTCCTTCTTTGACATCGAGAAGCAAGAATCCGCGGTGTCCAAGTGGGCAAGGGCAAGAACACGAGCAGCCAAGGTGAGAGCATTTCATGGTTTCACACCTCAATTTGTTTATTGCAAATCTTGGTCAATGGCCAGCTCTTCCTCTCGTTTTATTTCAGCTCAATTAATTTCTGATTTCCACCCAAATTCAGGTTGGAAAGGGGTTGTCCAAGGATGATAAGGCTCAGAAACTCGCATTGCAGCACTGGCTTGAAGCTGTAAGTCGTCTTCTTTTTTTACAGATACTGTAAATATATATATATATATATATATATATATATGTTGTGTGAAGCATGTGCTAATGGTGCTTAAATTCTGATGAACAGATTGACCCGAGGCACCGGTATGGACATAATCTTCACTACTACTATGACTGCTGGCTGCAGTGCGAAAGCAAGGAGCCATTCTTCTACTGGTGAGTGATATAATAAACTGAATAACTCACCTTGAATTTTTTAGCCTCTGAAGTTTTTGATCAGTCACTGAAATCTGAAGTTGTAATTACCTTGTTTTGGCTCTTTCAGGCTTGATGTTGGAGAAGGCAAGGAGATTAATCTTGAAGACCGGTGCCCGAGATGGAAGCTTCTAAGCCAGTGCATCAAATACCTTGGTCCCGTAAGTGTTTGCAACTTTTCAGTCAATCTACAGGGTTTATCTAAACTGCTGCATCAATCATAAGTACGTATATTCAGGACTAATGAAGTAAAAAATTGAATGCGTGCAGCAAGAAAGAGAAGACTACGAGGTTGTGATTGAGGATGGCAAGTTCATGTACAAGAACAGCCGGGAAATCCTTGACACATCTGGAGGGCCAAGAGATGACAAATGGATCTTTGTTCTGAGCACATCCAAGAATCTGTATGTTGGTCAGGTAAATAATGCAGATTCCCTCATGCTGCCAACAAGCTGCAGTTGCCTTCTGTGAAATGGTTCATCATGTAACATTGCCCATGAATCTCTATTGCAGAAGAAAAAGGGCAAATTTCAGCATTCCAGCTTCCTCGCTGGCGGCGCAACGTCTGCTGCTGGCCGACTAGTTGTCGAAGATGGAACACTGAAGGTAATTGATGATCTCCTCCTAAGCATCTACAGTCTTGTAATATTTTAGAACAATTTTGCATCATCTGGTATAGATTTGTCAAACATAATGCTGATGCAATCTTGTGATTGTTCTTGACAGGCAATCTGGCCTCACAGCGGGCACTACCGCCCGACAGAGGAGAACTTCCAGGAGTTCCAGGGCTTCCTCAAGGACAACAATGTCGACCTCACTGATGTCAAGGTGAGCATGCGTATGCTGATTGCTGAAACCACTGACATTGAAATGAGATGCCACCAATTGCTTCAAGATTGCATTCTGAAGTTTAACACTTCCAATTCTGTTGCAGATGAGCCCAACTGAAGAGGATGAGGAGTTCTGGAGCAGGCTGAGGAGTATCCCTTCTGACCGGTGCGCCGATGCCGCTGACAACACTGAAGAAGAGATGAACTCTTCTGAACAAACTGTCAATTGCCAAACGCCTGAAGCCACTGAAACCCCAACTGAAGAGATCTCATCACAACACATCCAAGAAACAATCAACAATCCTAGCACAACTCTGCCAAGGGTGGCTTCATCAGAAGGCCCCGCGACATCGAATGCCGGCGACAACGGCTCGTCTGAAGAAGGAGGAGAAGATCATCATCGTCAGGAAGAGGGCGATGAGCCATCATCGCCGTCGTCGTCGTCGTCTGTGCCGAGGGAGAAGATCCTTGAGAGGATCAACTCCAAGAAGGAGGCCAAGTCGTACCAGCTGGGGAAGCAGCTGTCGTTCAAGTGGACCACCGGCGCCGGGCCACGGATCGTGTGCGTCAGGGACTACCCGTCGGAGCTGCAGCTCCGGGCGCTGGAGCAGGTGCACCTGTCGCCGAGGAGCGCCGCCGCCGCCGCCGGCGGCAGGCCGTCGTCCCGGTTCGCGTCGCCGCAGAGGTCAAGCAGCCCGATGGCGAGAGGGTGCAGCGAGCCATTGACGCCGAGAGAGGCATTCCGCTCGCATCTGCAGCAGGGAGTGCTGATCAGGTGAACTGATCATCGCTGGATGGGGAGTGGAAAATTGTGATGATACAATTCACCTGTTCTTTGCCTTGAACAGGGTGATGATACAAATTGTGCATAGAAAGAATAAGGGGTGGGGGTAAAGAAAATCCTACCCATGTAGATCTTGTAGTAGAGTCTCAAAAAAGAGATCTTGTAGCAAGAGTGATATACACAAATCAAAGCAAATCAATACAAATTCTTTCATTCTTTGTTCTTAAATAGCACAATATTCTGACTGAAGCGAATGTTTCACAATAGTACCATTTGTACTAAAAACACTAGCAGCAAAATTGGTTCTGACAATTTCGTACTAGTTTTCCAATTTTTGAAAATAACACTTGGAGGAGAAAATTTCAAATCACACGAATATACAACTAGAACTTGAGAAACATTTCAACTCACAGAATTGAAACCCATGATAATTTAAGAAAATTAAATTTTGAGAATAACAGGGGTTAAAAATTCCGAATTGTAGCCGATACCAAAATTTTAAAGTTCAAAATTCCGAATTGTAGCTAACACCAAAATTTTAAATTCTGAATTGTGGGGCCCTCTCTGAGAGAGGGCGCCCTCCAAAAATTAGCGTATGCTGCTTAATGTGGCGCGCACACGGTATTCTTTAGTAAAAGGCGAAAGAATAGTTCGCTTTGTGCTCACCACGCAGCTGCGTGCCTTTCAACCGTAGCCCGCCGCCCTCTTATATAGCCGAGCTCACTGCCCCCTCCGACCTAGCCAGGCGAGGTGGTACTAAACTCGAGTAAACCACGCGCTTCGGCGCTTCACACCCACTACCACTAGGCCACTACCACCACCAGCCCAGCTCACCAAGGAAAGCCCAAGAGCTCTTGTGGGCTTCCAGCCTTTCACGCGTTCAGGCCCACGCGCTTTGTGTGCAACACGTCTACACTCCACAGTTCCACACCAGTATCAGATGGAAAGGCTGGAAGCCTTACATTTTCTTCCCAAATACCATACCTCTGACGCAATTTAGGAGTTGTTTGGTTTATTGTCCTCTAAAAATTTTTGGTAGCATTAAAATCTAAGCAAGTTATAGCACTACCGATGTTTTTGATAGGGTAGCAATTATAAATATTGGCGTTTGCATTGTTGTCAATTAGGAGGTAAATTTTATATTATAGTGAAGAAAGTTCTAAAATCATGCCAAATTAAATATGGGCATTACTAACCATTTGGCTTCAAACCAAACTAGAACATTTACTATTCAAATTACCAGGGTATGTTTTGGCATCAATCCGAGACAGCCCTTATAACCAGACTTTAGCTATTTTAAAAATAAAGTTCATAAATTCAAAAACATATCATACTATCGAGTGCACTTTCGTTCATCAAAATTTGATATTTAAAGGTTATTAGCCGTTAAGCTGAAATAAAGTAAGTCACTGGTCAATGGTGACAAATACCAAGTGCCACTGGTAAAGACCAGTAGTACATTTGATTTGAGAGATCTAGTGATTACATGTGATTGCACCTACCTACTCAATATTACATCCATCGCTACAAAATTTCATTTCACCGTTTCTTTCTGTGATCAACACAGGAGAAGAATCGTCGAGACGATGTCAAGAGCACAAGCCAAACCATTTTATAGCCAGCTTCACTCATCGTGTTTCCGCTTTCTTTCTTGAGCTCTTTTCTTCTGTTCTTTTCTGGCTTGTACCTTGTCTTCATGGCCCTCATCTGCCATCTTCATATTCGCAAGACGCCTCGCTTTGAATACCTGTATCATATGGACAGTTAATAGTTGAGTAAAACTCAGTTATCATGAGAAAAAAAAAGATGCAGTAATAGGTCAGACAATACTAATCTAGATGCAAAACGAAAAACAAGAGAAGACTTCCTGTCACACCTTTGTAGCATCTTTATTGACATCTCTCATCTCGCCATCATATGCACCTAATTGCTTCCCCACAACATCCTCTATCTCATGTAACAGACGTATATCTCTCTGCAAAGACATCAATGTCAGTATGCAAGTTCCATTAAGAACTGGGAGGTTGCAAAACTATGGAAAGGAAACCAAGCAATGTAAATGCACTACTGCCATGTAAAATTTCTGATTTGATTACTTCTAATATTCATGAGTCAGTATAAGATAGTTTGTTGGTAGCTACAATCCATACTACACAGACTAAGATTTCTGAGTCATTAGTGAGCATGCTTCGGTTAGTATACTTTTTCCATTGAATTTTTTTTTCTAATTTCAGTTTTCTTTACAGAAAGTTCCTAGCCCGTATTTTTTTTATCAATAAATACACACTAAACTGCAATCATAGATATGAAGAAATAAGGGGAAAACAGGATGGTTGCATCAGAAAAGAACATTATCTGAACTCAAGCATACAGACCTGGGTTGTGATAAAGCTTATCGAGAGCCCTCCCCTAGTAGCTCTTGCAGTTCGTCCAACTCTATGGATGTAATCTCGTGGGTACCTACAATAAGTAATCCAACATGCACCCACCAGGCATTAGCATTCGTCAAAATACATCAACAAGGTGTACGAAGTGATTATTGCATATAAAGCTAGTTGAAGCACCTTGGAACGTCATAGTTGATAACAAGATCAACTGTTTGGATATCCAAACCACGACTGGCTACATCAGTAGCAAGCAAAACTGGAACCTTACTGGATTTGAAATTATGCAATGCTGCCAGCCTTCTCGACTGAGGCTTATGAGAGTGCAAGGAAACAGCAGGATGACCAAGCTCTTCCAACAGAAAATCCAAATATTGGCATGTCCTGTGCAACAATAGATTTAAGTTAAGTTAACATCACAAGAAAGGATTGAACTTTAAATGGACAACAAATGATAATCACAGAAGGGGCATACATCAAGGATGCAGAGGCTACATAAATCTTTATCTAAAAAAAAGAGGCTACATAAAACTTGTGTGGAGGTGCATACAATAAAAAGTCATTTTCCACACATTTGTGATAGGACATGATTTAATAAAGGTTAACCAATATACAGGGAAAAAAATAAAACAAGAGATGTGTTTGAGAGATAACAGTTCTAAACCCTGCGCAACTACCCAAAGATCAGATGATTTATTGTGTAGGAGAGGTATACCTGCAGGTTGAGACAAACACAATCACCGAACGTATATTGTCTTCGTTCATTTTTGACAGAAGATAGAAAAGATAGAGCTCTTTAGCATCAGGAGGTACATGGATATACAGCTGCTTTAAGGTATCAACCGTTTTGAACCCTTCATATGCCTCAAAAAAGTATGAATTGTTGCCAGAAAGCTCAAGCAAAGATCGCAGGTTGTCTGAAATTGTTGCTGAGAACAAAAAAGTTTGGCGCTTCTTTGGTAAAGAGCCAAATATCACTCGCAGGTCCTCCTCAAAATTAATATCTAAAACTCTATCTGCCTCATCCAACACAAGGAACTGTGACAGAAAATATAATACAAGTTAGTTATCTGAAACTAGCACAGTAGGACTGTAAGAGTATGGAAAACACAGTGCACCTTAATAATCTGAAACTTGCAGCAGTGCAAATACGGAACATTGTTAGGTAAATCTATAGAGCAATAAACACAGATAATTCAGATAGGCACACCCCTCAACACTTGCTCATAATTCCATATCCAAAAGGCTTGTTTGGTTGGGACCATAGGAGGGAACTGAAGTGAGGGAATGGGAATCAAGGTGCGATAAGGATTAGGAACTTGAGGGTCCAAGTCCTATCCTTTTACACCCATGCACAAGGTGTTTAAGATATATCCCTTCATCATAATTACATGAGGATTTCTTAAATGCTACTACCTCCATCCTAAAATATAAGGATTTTTAGAGTTGGACATGGTTATTAAGAAAGTTGGTATAATTAAATGGAAGAAGGCTGTGATTGGATGAGAAGTGGAGGTAGGTGAGAAAATTGAATGGTGGAGGGTTGTGATTGGTTGGGAAGAGAATGTTGGTGAAGAAGTTGTTATAGTATTTTGGAACAAATCCTAAAAGCTAAAAGTTGTTATATTTTGGGATGGAGGGCGTATAAATTTATCTCTCGCATTTTTCCCATCCCTTCCGGCTTCCGCCAAACAAGAGAATAGACTACAAATCAAATTTCTATGGCCGAACCCACCAGAAATTCGTAACTATGAACTCATATTTCCCTGCTCAATTGTTATCAAACATTACCTTCTAATTTCTATGTTCTATGCAACCGATCTGATACCACAAACATGAGCACGCACGATAACTTGCTCATTTTTTCTGTGATAGCATATCAGTACTATAAGAAACAAATGGAAGTCTTAGCTTCTGCCCAGAACTCCACATATAACCAAACAATATGTTTCCATGTGACTATTTTTTCACCACCACCAAGGAACCATTTCAGGCATACATCAACTGATCACTAAAAACATCCTTCTGTTCATATGACCACTTGATTTGAGAACACAGAAACTACAATTCTTACACCACTACCCAACAGATAATTTCTCGAAACTAAAATACCGTTCTGTTCGGCTCTCGTACCATAAATCTCTCAAAAAACTATGTGTTTCCAGCAACAGAAAATGTACATACAGGGTTAAGAGAAGCAATGAAGAACGAGTAAAATCCTCCAGATTACAGCTGAAGGAGATAAGTTTAGGTGCCAACCTTGGTGCGAGCGAAGACTTTGGCGAGGTCGGGGTCGTCGTTGATGAGCGTGGCGATGCGGCCGGGGGTGGCGACGACGACGTGCGGCCGGCGCGCGAGGCCCTTGGCCTGCCCGAGCGAGTCGAACCCGCCGATGGCCGCGAGGCACCTGAGCCCCAGCGGCGCGCCGAGCGCGCGGAACTGCTCGGCGAGCTGCGCCGCCAGCTCCCGCGTGGGCGCGAGCGCGAGCGCCGCGACGCCGTATGGGTCCTCGCCGAGGCGGTGGAGGATGGGCAGCGCGAACGCGGCCGTCTTCCCGCTCCCCGTCTCCGCGATCCCCAGCACGTCCCTCCCCTCGAGCGCCCGCGGGATGCACCGCCGCTGCACCGCCGTGGGGACCCGCATCCCCAGCGAATCGCACACGTCGACCAGCCACTGCGACAGGCCGAGCTCCGCGAAGGTGGAGGGCACCGCGGCAGCGGCAGCATCATCGCCGGCGTGCTCGGTCACGGCGGCGGCGGGGGCCTCGTCGGAGTCGCGGAGGTCGGGCTCGATGGCGGGGGAGGGGCTAGGGTTTGGGGGTTCTTCTGGCTGGGTATGGACTTGGGGCTCGGCTTCCTGCTTGGGTTTCTTCTTGCTGGACTTGGGCTTGGAGAAGAGGAGGAAGGGGCGGGCTTCGCCGTCGACCTCCATTGCTCGCGAGCTTCGCGGCGGCGGCGGCGGCGGCGGCGGAAGGGTTTCGGTGAGGGGAGGAAGCGAAGCTCGCAGCGTGAGGGGACACGCCCGCTAGATTGGGTTGATCCTAGCCCTTCGGTTCAAATCTGACGCTTCACAGAAGCAAACAGGACAGGACACAACGTTGGGTCGCTCGCTCTACTCCCTTCTACTTCCATTTTATATTATAAGACTTTTCGCGTTCATATACCCCCTCCGTTTCAAAATATTTAACGCCGTTAATTTTTTTTAAGTACGTGTTTGACCATTCGTCTTATTAAAAAAATTAAGTAATTATTTATTCTTTTCATATCATTTGATTCATTGTTAAATATACTTTCATGTACACGTATAGTTTTACATATTTCAAGAATTTTTTTTAATAAGACGAACAGTCAAACATGTGCTAAAAAGTCAACGGTGTCAAATATTTTGACATGAAGGGAGTATGTGTTAACATCCATATATATATTAACATCCATATGAATATGAACAATGCTAGAAAGTCTTATAACCTGAAACAGAGGAAATATTATTTTAAAAACTTATATAAAAATTAAAAAAATAAGTTTCATGTTTATCATCTAATAACAATAAAAATACTGATAAAAAAATTCAAATAAAACGGAAAGTTAAACATTGGAAACGGAAATCTACAATTATACTTAAATGGGTCAGAGGAGTACTGACCAACTTGACACGGGATAAAAAAATGCTTTGCCATAGTATGAAAAAAATTACAATGATCTTGCAGACATACTTATTTGCATACACTAACAAAACCAAAAATTTGGTAACAGAACTGCAAGGAACACGTTAAAAATTTCCAAAGACAATGGCAGTAGTAGTACCAAGGGTGTGTTTAGTTCACACCAAAATTAGCAGTTTAGTTGAAATTAGAACGATGTGACGGAAAAGTTGGAAGTTTGTGTGTGTAGGAAAGTTTTGATGTGATGGAAAAGTTAGAAGTTTGAAGAAAAAGTTTATAACTAAACTCGGCCCAAGTAGATATCCATTTTCCTTGTTTGCCAGTCTAAAGATTTCAGTAAGGCCGAGTTTACTTCTAAACTATTTCTTCAAACTTTCAACTTTTTTATCACATCAAAACTTTTCTACACACATAAACTTCCAACTTTTCCGTCACATCATTCCAATTTCAACCAAACTTATAATTTTGGCGTGAACTAAACACACCCTAAATAACTTTGCGCTAGCAGATTGTCTGAACTGTGCCCATCGTTGAGATGACTGAACCAGCAATGTTACAGAATCCAGCTGTTTACAAGTCGAGGATCCAAACAAATTTGTTCAAAAATAACTGGTCCCTTCAAACCTATATTAACTTTGCGTTTAGTTAAACGTCTAAATTCAACTATGTGTCAATAAAAGAAAAAAAGACATGTTCAACAGCAAATTCTGTGTGTGAATTCTGAGCTCTGCTTTAAGCCATTTACCACATTATCGCAGAACTAACTTCCAGGCATGTTCAGGAATTAAGGAATGGAACACAATGCATCAGCACTACAGTTTTAACCAAATGTAATCTATTTTAATTACAATCACCATGATTAACTTATATATTCCATAACTGAAAACAGACCACTAGAAATCCCAGAATAGCCATTAAATCTAGTGTATGCCTGCCTGGAAAGAATGAACCCCTTGTTTTTCCCTTCAAATGATACAAGGTGACTAGCTGCCCAGCATCCAGTCGTCTATGAAGAGAAAAGTGTGACATTGCTTGTAGTTGCAGTGCTGCTGCTTGATGTTAACACACTGAAAATGACATCTGAACTAACTGATAGTGTGCTACAGATGTTTCTAGGCAGGGTTGTCACCAAAAACAAGAGCTGAACCGGAAATACGAACCAACCTACCTGGCAATATTATCCAGCGTCTGTAATTAAATCCATTTGAGCATGGTATGACATGTCTACTATTCTGACTGTTACATGAATTTAAAATTGTCAAAATTCTAGAACTATCAAGATAGAAAACTGAAAGCACAGTTCCCAATCCCCAGAGGTCGATCATTTGTTCAAGATGCTTAGGTAAACCACAATGATGGTAAAAAAGCAGCATGTGTCGCACTTGATATTCACAAATCACAATGTCCTTGATTTGATCTAGCAGTAAAATGCTCAAGTTTAATTACGACTGCATTTCTTACTTGAAAACATTTGGCATGAGAAATACATGTATAATAGCAGATAAGTGGCAAAACAGATGTTCCCGGCTAACTCCAAGGGAATAAAGATGGCAACATTTTGCGAAGGGGCCAGTAACAAGTTACAAGAAACTTCTCAAGAGTAATACATAAATTACACAAAAAGAATGGATGGCACATAATCCAGATCAACGTGTAATGAATTGAACATGGTACGGCAGGAAATACATTAAGATGATATGCCTAATGACAAACCCTGGATGAAGTTCCTCTGAATTCCAATGCGCCAGCCAAGGAAGAGTATATGGACATCGCTAATTATCACAACACGAACTCATGTGTCACAAGTTGCATGTATTGATTCCATCCTTGCAATCCCTCGTCAAGTTGTTGAAAGTTTCAACTTGAGTCTTTGCTCTATAGAATACCTCTGTGTCCACAATCACCCTCATATATGCATCGAACGGCACTGGCCTCCCACCACTTAGCGTTGTCGTTTCATTGTACCACTCACTTGTATTCGACCAAAGCTCCTTGTAATCATCAAGCAAGTGCACATGAAAGTATGACCTGAGCTTATCAAAGTAGTTATAGAACGGCTCATTGGTCGCAATGTAGAGGTTTCTCATCGGCTGCTTAATAAGTTTTGGAACCTTATCTACAAGTGCCTCGGGTGATGTATCGGCATCTAGGTTTGGATACATTTGCTTGTTCTGTGCCTTCCACCCTCGGATGACATGCAGACCATCATAATCCCAGTCCATCCTACCAGCAATCTCAGTGACAATGTTCATCAGCCTCTTCGACTTCCAAATAGCATACCAAGGCCGCTGGATGACCTTAGCGGCTCGCCCCTCACACACCCTGTACCAGTAATTCTCAGGCTCCTGCCCATCAAACAGCCTCCAAATGATGTTGCTCTTGTCCCTCTTAAGCTGCATTGGAGTCACCTTGTACGACGGTACCTTCCGCACCGAGATCCGGCCAGGACCCTTCTTCTTGTCCCAGCGCTTCCAATCTTTCAAGAAGTCCCCTTCCTCCACCACAGACACCGACTCCTTCAAGTGCTCGAAATCAAAATAGTACCTAAAATCCTTCCCATCCTCATCCTTCCCATTGTTCGTGTGCGCCCCGGACAGACACATGTTCAAATCCATCACGAAAGTCCGGTTCAAGAACTTGGCCTCACCAAGGCCACACAAGAAGCTCCATATGAACTGGTTCATGCTCTTGCAATGGTCACCACCTCTCATGTAGTACAAGTACTTGCCTCTCCTGAACTCTGCCTCTGAACCAACAATTGGGATGGTGTCGTTGATCTCAGCGTCCACTGGCGGCGGCGCGACGCGCGGGTTCCGGTTCTTGGAACCCTTCTGACGAGGCGGGCGAGCCGCATTGGTCCCGGATCGGAACTTGCCGACGCGGTTAATGTCGAGAGCGCATCCATCGCCGGGGACAAGGACGAAGCGGCGGTAGTCCCTGTACCTGCGCCAAGATTTCTCCCTCCGGTTCCTGAACCGCCAGGCGACGTCGCACTCCCCGGGCTTGGGTCCCGGCACCGGCGCCTCGTAGCTGAGGAAGACGATGGACTTGCGGAAGAAGGCCTTGGCATTGAACGCCTTGACGGCGGCGAGGACGCGTGGGTCGGAGCAGTTGAGCGGCGCGTCCGGGTCGCAGGTGCCGTTAACCGCGGCGGCGGTGGCGGTGGCGGTGGCCTGGTCTGGGTCGTCGCGGCGCGGGGCGGAGGGGGTCGAGGAGGAGGAGTTGAAGTCCTCGCCGGTGGGGAGGAGGGAGTCGTCGGGGAGGAGGAAGGTGGAGTTGGGGAGGACGCGGGAGAGGGAGGTGGTGATGGCGGCGGAGGACTGGAGCCAGGGGTCGGGCGGCTGGTAGGTGACGGCGACGACGGTGACGACGAGGACGGCGAGGACGAAGAGCGAGAAGCAGACGTTGCTCGCCGCCTTGATGATCGACTGCGCGACGGGGACCTCGCCGACCGGGGAGGAGCGGCGGCGCGGGTGCGGGTGGTCGTCGTCGTCGCCGGAGCTGGCGCGGAAGAGCGGGGCGTCCTCGTCGTGGTCGTCCTGGTCGGAGGATGACATGGTCGGAGTTGGATCTGGGGAGAAATGGAGGCGGCGAGATTTGGGGCGGTGGGTGAGACGAGACGAGAGTGCGAGACACTCCCCCCCGATGTGGTTGGCGTCGGGGAGAAGGGAAGGGAGAGTGAGAGGAAAAGGGGTGGTTGGCGTGGTCGCTTTCTCGATGTGTCGGCGCACGCACTCTGCACGTACGCTGCACGGTCACTCTACCCGATGGGATCGGGACTACTACCCTATGTTGGGCCAGAGACCCCCCTTACAGATAGGTGTGGCCCAAATTTTTGACCCACAAACGAGGGGGAGGGCTCACAGGGCAACCGGAAAGAAAAAGTCTACTTTTGACTCCCTTAAAAGGACCAAATCTAGTTCGTACCCCTTAACCACGGAACGATAGTCCCAAACTATTGAAACCGGTATAATTTGACTCCCTTAATGGTTTTGGAGTACGGTTTCGCTGACGTGACGCTTATGTGCTGATGTTGACCTGGTCTTCCCCTCTCTCCCTTATCTATCTCCCTCTCTTCCTCTTTGACTTTCTATGGGTAACGGGGGTCGGGGCAGCAGGCGGGGCAGGGAAGGTGAGGGCGGACCAACGGCAGCATCATCCTCACTCCCCCTTTCACCTTTGCTATTGGACATGCGGAACGACGATGAGAATGGCAATGTGCAGAGGAGCTGTCAATAGTGGCAGCGGAGGAGGAGCTCCAGCGCCGAGGCCCTCGCGCTCCTCGTCGAGCTTTCCTCTGGCTTAGCATTGTGCGCTTGACAAGATCGATGTCGACAGCAACAACCCAAGTTGAACTGTTGCTCCGGGTAGGGGGAGAAAAGGAGAGATAGATTGTGGAGGTTATGTCACTGACAGTTAAGTCCCAATGTACTGTATTATTTTATTTTTTCTCTGAATGCAATGCCACGTCAGCACAAGTTGACCAAAGTCAAAGGACCACGTGGGACGATAACCAGGTCAACACTGTCACATCAGCAAAACCGCTCTCCCAAACTGCTGAGGGAGTCAAATTACACTGGTTTCAATAGTTCGGGGAGTCATCCTATCCAATTTTGTGGTTAAGGGGTACGCATTAGATTTGAGTATTTGACCCACTACTAAGGGAGTCAATGTGGACTTTTTCCCAACTGGAATCATATGGGCGAATGCCCATCTATCGAACTGATGAATTCGACCCAAATTTAGGCCGAACTCCCAATGGGCCGGCCAACCGGCCCATCAAGTTTCTCCCAAATCCGGAGCTCGCCTCCTCGGTCTTCGGTCTTTCGGTCATGAAAACTCAGGACCAAATTTCATCCAAATAAACTCAGGACCGGTAAATTCGCTATCGGTTTTTTCGGTCTCTGTCTCGGTCTAACCGAATTCGTCTCGAGACTTGACGGCGCAGGTGGGCAGCGAGAGCTGGTGGCGACCCACACGCTGCCGCTCGCCAGGCGCGCCGCGGACGGCGGCGCTCGTCGCGGTCGCGGTGGAGGCTGGAGGCGGCGCCGACGCGGACGGCGGCGGTCCTCACTGCCGCGGCGGAGGCTGGAGGCGGATGGCGGCGCTCGTGGGGGACGCTGCGGAGGCGGGAGGTGGCGCCGAGGCGGACGGCAGCGCTCGTCGGGGCCGCGGCGGTGGCTGGAGGCGGCGCCGAGGCGGCGCTCGTCGGGACTTGGGACCGCGGCGGAGGTGGGAGGCGGCGCCGAGGTGGAAGGCGACTCGATGGATGGGGTGGGGACTGGGGATGGATGGAGGCGGCGGTGCTGAGGTGGTGGGACTGTGGAATGGGGACTTACAGGGTTTTGCAATTTATTGGGTTTATTGGGCCTCCTAGGTCTATTGGGCCACAATTCGGTTTTCTCGGTTAATTCGGTTAACCGAGCCCAATGACCGAAATACCCGAAATAAATCGGTCTTTTGATGGCTGGGACCGAACTACTAGCCAAATTTCTCGGTCCCGGTTTTTTCGGTCTCGGTATCGGTCTTTTCGGTTCGATCTTATTTTACCCACCCCTACTCGAACGAACCGAAGAACTCGGCGGCGACACTGACAGTCTCCTCTTCCACCACTGGCCTAGGGCAAGAGATCGACGAGAGGAGCGGAGGGAGGAGGAGGAGATGGGCGGAGTGGAGCAGGAGCAGCTGCTCAGCCTGGGCGTCCTCATCGACATCGTCGACGAGCAGTGGATGCGCGACACCCTCCCAGCCGACGGTAACCCCTCCCCCCCCCCTCCCCCTTTCGCGTCGTCGTTCGATTTGACGCCCGGAACGATCCCCTCTTTCTTTGATGGTTGTGCAGATGTCCCCGTGCCGCCCGCCATGGCCGTGAAGACGGAGGAGGCGGAGGATCCAGCACCCGCCAGTACGTTCCCCTTCTTCTTGCACCTTTTTTTTTTTCGAAACAATTTTGGCATTTCATTCCGATCTGGGTGAATAAGATGATTAGCGGATTCTGGATGCGTGTAATGTTGTCTATTTAGCAAATATTGGAAGATTGTTTCGGCGTTAGGTAATATGTATAGCTAACAAACTACCATGCTAGGTTAATGATTCAAATTTTGAACTGCAACATTACTGGATCATATGAGCATATCTTCCCCGTAGTGAATACATCACGATGTGATCCCTCACTGTAATCGCCTAGTTAATGAGATTATTTGTTCTAGAATGTATGTCTCATCAAACTAAAACTTCTGTTTTACTAGTTCTGTTTGAGATGATAAGTAATGCTGCACAGCCTTTGTAAAGTGATGATAGTGTGAATGTGTTATAATCTCTGGACACTGTTTGCATACTATATTCTGTTTGCTGTCAGTATGTTCACTGGCTGGTATAGTATCCCAATTTTTCTGATATATGATTCTGTAATGCCCAGTAGATCAGGAAAGCCAACCAGCACAAGGGGATGTGTGGCGTGATTTCACATTGGAGAATCTCTGATCACTTGTGACCTACAAGGTAAGACATCAGTTCCTATCCTGAGTTCTTGACTAGTACAACCTTAAACAGTACTCTATCTGGACTCAGAAACATATTGGTTTGGGCATGCTTTAGTCAATTTCAAAAACTTTCAGTACCATATATTTTAACTATTTAGAGTGGACGCATGGAATCATATGTGTAGATTTTTCGCGAAAGGTGCTTCCATAGTATTTTTATTTATCGAGTTCTAGAAGTACTAGCATGAGTGCCCATGCGTTGCAACGGGAAACTAAAATGTTGAAAATAGCATGGAGCTGAAGTTCCAGAAAATTTGTTTGGAACGTGGCAATCTTTCATAAGCATGGGCATAAACAATTGGTAAACAAAATGTAGCATGTATGTTACCGGTAGAAACAATTAGAGATGTCGATTTACATGAGTATAATGGTATTTTCATTAATTAGGTATCCTTTTCATTTGTATATTCATTCATGTTTATAGTTTTATACAGAAAAAAAACACGGTACCAACCTGCGCTACATCCATTTTTAAATTATTGTATACATGTAATCTCCAATGAGATGAGATCATTGCTTCAAGGCTTCCCACGGAATCAATCACACGCGTGATCTGTCCGCGGATCTCCATTACGTACGGCATTACCTCCTCCATTAAATTGTGCTTGTAAAGTGCAACAGATCGGACGAGATGGAAGCTTAGATGTTGCTAGGAACAACGAAATCACTGGTGGCATCTATATCATGCGCGCCGATACAATAGGATATGGCATGGTGCACTTCGTGCAGATGACTAACCTGACGCTACCCCGAGCGTGCTGCGTGTACGTCTTCATCCGATCGCGGATAGCAGCGCCACTTTGTATTTGTTTGTTGGGAGATGCTATACTTGAGTATTCTCTGTTTTTCTCATAATTGTCGGTCGACTATGCCAGCCGTCGGATCTCCATCGGACGACTTCCACATTGTCTTCTTCCTCGCGACTCTTTTCTTCAGTCTATCTTCGTTTTAACTGTCAGACCGAAAGCCCGACATGCAAGAGCCGAGAGGTCCCTGTGTCGACAGACCACCGCGCTGCGCGGTGGCATCCCCACCACTGCGTCTCAGCGCCCACCTGGCCACCTCCTCCACCGAGCCGACGTCAACTCCATGACTCCTTTAAGCCCAGTAGCCTACATGCCATCAAATCCTCATCGACAGTCCATGTCCCGTTCCCTAACAATGATCGTCAAAAGCTCGCTGTTGGGACATAGATATGCAACTATAATGAGCGATACTGATGCTCGCGACTCACGACCGCTTTGGACATGGGCCTTAACCAGGGGAAGGGAATCAGACCAAAAAATACAGTGACGAAGTCGGACTCTGATGACGTGCCGTGGGGTAAGAAGCTGAATAGGACAAAAAATACGCGCATGCGGGCAAAAAAGTCGGATGACGTACGAGGCACCGGCAAAAACATCTTCAACTTTTATAATAGGTAAAGATGTGAAGATAAGTTGGTAGTCAATTCTGCATTTTGAAGACTTACGGACGACCGGATGTGACATTTTTTTTTTACTGGGGGGAGTACAATTCTACACTTATTTAGAATGCACCGTAAAAGATTGTTACAGCTGATCATTATTTTATAATAGATGTCATATGCATCATTGATCTGAAAGAGTGGAAATTCCATGCAGAGTATCATATTTTCTCAACTAAAAATATAACTGCTTGATACACACCGATTGTTATCAGCAGAGGATGTAAGCAATTCATTAAGGAACTCACGATTATGTCAACATTTCCTGAAAGTGGAATTCGTTCTTGGTATCTTGTCTCATTTTGACCAAATAATAAAAATTACATCTATTTGAGTTCTACTTAAGTTTGCACATCAGGTATTAGGCCAAGTATATAAAGACTTCAAAGTAAAGAAACCTCAAGAATATTTGCTGAGAGAGTAATTCATTCATGGTATCGAACCAAAGATACATTTTTGAGTTATACTCAAAGCTTTATGTTGGGACTTAGGCGAAGAATATTAGACTTCCAAGTAAAGAATATACTCTGATCTAGTGCAGCTGCAAAAATGTTTTCTTCAAGTGCAATGGAACTTATTTATCGATGGGAATGATCCGAATGCAAGTCTGTAAGCATTAGCAAAGCCTAATAGTATCAATGGTTTGCAGGATTGAAGGCAATTATGAATTATCATAAACCACTACATGAATATGCAGTAAAGTGAGCTTATTAGCTTAGCACTTAAAAAGTAAATCATCCAATTTTCAACATTGTAGATGACTGATGCATTGCATTCAGAGCATTGCATATTCTCCACATGTGATTATGCAACATGAGTTGGTCTGATGTACCTAACATGATATATGAATTGCAGTGCTTCCAGAGATGAATATACCATGCTGGGAATCTAGGAGCTACGTGGTCATTGCAATTTCTGAGCTTCATATAACTATAAGGTCATCTGAACTTAGCGTACTATCTGGTTTTGTTTCAGCTGTAGTTCGTCGAACCCATGCTTTAAACCGATGTAAATGCTCCAGATATTGGTAGCACATTGCTGCATGATGACACCGAACCTTGTGATGAGAAATTATATGTTGTGAACTATGATGGTGATGAGAACAGTCATTCAGATCTGGAACATATCAAATCACTGGTAGTTTGCAGTCACCACACATTGACGCATGACAAACAGCAGAGTTTCTGCCTTGGCATGTGTATGGCAACATTCTTTTTTCCAACATAGATCCTTAACCGAGCATATACAAGGAATGTTTTTGGTTGCAGCTGCGATGAAGTAACGTTATTTTGCAGCCTACACGGATCCTGTACTGTCAATGCACATTCTGAAGACCTTAATTTTGTATTCGCCTGTCACATGCTGCACTGCTGCTTCATTCATGCCTTGTGCTGTAACTTGTACGAATGGTTCATTTCTTAACTCTCTTTACAGGGAGGCACTGACCATTGAGGCAGCCGGCCTGTGGTTTCATATGCTTCTGAACTGGTTTTCTCTCTCAAAAGATGGCACAATTTGCGTCATATTAAAATGCATTTTTAGGTTCATGATTTAGCTGTCAATGTAACTATGACCAATCATGCATCTGAGCCGACCCCTTCCCAATCATTGGCCATGATTTCTCTTGGCCACTAGTGAACTTTCTTTTGCTTAACTAATGATGGCACATGCCAACTTAACGATAAAACCTAACCTTACACTTCCAAAGTTTCACCTTAATCACAGCTTATATTGTACTCTTTCGTTGATTAGCAAGAATCTCCCTACAGTTTATGGCACCTTGTTTATGCATTAAGTACATAGTTGAGGCACATCTGGTGACGAGGCCAGGCTCTCATTTTTTGGCAAAAGGCAGTTCTTCCTTTGGCCTACGGCAACGACGAAAAGCTGACAACCAGTACATGTAAACAATTTCTTGAAGTGATCATGCAATGATAGTTCCAATCATCGTAAGAAAGAATATGCTTAATTAGTGGCACGCCAATGCCATTGCTAATTTAGAATTAACACTACTGACTTAGTCACTTACTATCCACTGAACCAAAGAAACCTTGAGAGATTAGATTACACGCATTCGGTTCAGATCATGTTCATAACAAGAAAATAAAATTTAAGAATGTCACTTGTGCTCAATCTCCTATAGCTAGCTGGTCCCTATGCTTAGCATAAACGAGTAGTAGTTCTGCTAATCATAACGATATCGATGATATAATCGAGATCTAAAACAAACAAACTATCAGTAAACAAACAAAGAGTTGGATCACCCCAGCATATATTGGTATCTAGATGGGGTGATTAACAAACAGAGAGTTGGATTAACTTAGCATACATTTGAGCTTAATGGATGAATAGCTGTATAATTTTGTGATAACTGTTCTATTCTTAGTACAAATGAATAAATTAATTATTGTATTATAAAATTATAAAAATGTATTTAGAATAATTTTCTTAAAAAATCATATATATAATTTTTTTTTGATAATCTCACTATTTAGAAGACCAGGAAACACGTGTTTATTACTCCCTCCGTTTCATATTATAAGTCGCTTTGATTTTTTTTTAAGTTAAACTTCTTAAAAGTTTTGATCAAATTTATAAAAAAAATATATCAACACTTATAGCACTAAATTAATTCTATCACATCTAATTAACATTGAACATATTTCGATAGGTTTTTTGTTTTGTGTTAAAAATATTACTATTCTTTTTTATTCGTCAAAACCTTAAGTTTGATTTAGAAATAAGTCGAAACAACTAGTAATATGAAAAGCGGAGAGGTATAGAAAAGAACACACGGGAGAGAGTGATTTGCAAGTATGCCTAATCGTGGTTGTATAATGCCCGGTGGTGGAGAGCATGTGTCAAAAAAGGAATCAAGTTCGTAGGCGCCGATCGGTTGCTGCCGCTGCCGCTCGCGCCATTTTTCTTATATGGCTCCCTCCCAACTTGCATGCCATGGCGCGCGCGCGCCGCAACAACTCGTCTCCTATATATATACAGCTCTAGCTACCTTAGCTCGTCACTGACCCCAGCTGCTCGATCGATCAATCAATCAGTTCGGCTTAGTTAGTTGCCACCTTAGCTAAGCTAGCTAGTATAGCTCTAGCTTCTTCTTGCTCGCTCGCATGGGTCTCGAGGTGCTCATGGCGAGAGACCAGCTGCTGCAGCGCCCGAGGTGGCGGTACGAGCGGCTGCGCGGCGACGGCGACGGCGACGGCGAGGAGGCGGCGGCGGGGGTTTGCAGGGTGAGGCGGCAGCTGCGGCTGAGGAGGAGAGTGGTGGCCGCCGGCGCCGCCGGGAGGATGGCGCGCGGCGGCGGCGGCGGCGGCGGCGGGAGGAAGAAGGTGAGGCTGATGCGGCTGGTGTTCCTGCTCCCGGCGCGGCGGGTGGCCGCGCTGTTCGCCGAGCTCGTGCGCCGGCTGGCCGCCGCGGCGGCGGCGAGCGTCGTCGTCGACGCGGCGGCCGAGTGCCCCACCATCGTCTTCTCCTCCCAGTGGGGCCTCCCCGTCCTCTCCCACTCGGCCAGCGGCGGCGGCGGCGGCGCCGCCTCCGCCGCCCGGAACGCCAGGCTGCGCGCCTTCTACCTCGAGAGGAGCCTCTCCTCCGCCGGCGCCAGCGCCGCCGCCTCGCCATGCTGATCAACACTTCCGGCCGCCATCCAAGAAGGCATATCCATGGCGATGGCGATGGCGAGCTACAGTGACAAGCCTCGTATGCCAATCATTTCTCGCCATTGTAACCAAAACCATGTAAGGATTCTGGCAATAAGTCGAGCACATGGCGTGCAAGACTGTCGTCGCTGTACACCGTACTGCAAAAAGTACCTGAATATGACTTAAATTGAGGCAACTTGAAAGAGATTTCAGTCTTGGAAACAAGAAGATCCATGGAGATCGGCTGTGCTGGATGTATGTCTCCGCACTTAATTTTTCTTGCCGTTACATACTGGTACCAACGTTAACAATGGTGAGCAAAATCTGAAAAATATATGGGTTGAAATTGTTATAAATTCCGTTTCAACCAACACTGCAGATATGAAGGAACAGGGCATAGTAACTAGTAAGCATACACAATAATTAGATCACATGTTTGGTTAAGGGCAAGTATAATATGCAAAGCAGCTAAAAATCCACCCACAAAATGAATGATTGAAAATCCACTGCTTAGCAGTTAACACCATGACAATATTTGAGAAACAGCAGGCACACACAAATTGCTGAAACCAGTGGAAATGCCTTTTAATTTAGATAAAATCCATTTTAACACTCTACTCCCTTTTATTTTCTGTTCTTGTACTATGTTTGTATTTACATTGACTCACACTATCAATCGAACAAATCCACATTGTTGAAGTAGATTTGCACCTTATTAGAAGCCTTGCCTTCTATTTTGTTCTCTGATGACCCCTTTGTAAATCTGGACATCTGAAGCGATTGCGTGTGTTCTTACGGTAAAAGAAATTACTATACAACATCTATTGGTACAGAGCTGGAATTTGAACATTCTTGATGGTGAGCTCTGAGTTCAGTTGAGCCATGAGCAATACCGGCAGGTTCAGGGCATGTGCCCTCTGATCTTTCCATTTCATCCAATGCTCTTTTTGCGTAGACTGTAAATCCAATCGCTACAAGAAAGGCGACAGTAATAGAGATAACATTGTACACAATCTCCACAGTTGTCAATCTATGGTTGTGGTATTTCAGGCCTGCAAGTGTGAGTATCAGCCGACCACTGCAACAAAAAGGGATAAAAAATTCAAGATAAGAAGGTAATTGTCAACGGTAAGACTTAGGAGCAGCAACTTGCTCAGTGTTGAACTGTATCTGTTCATAGTACATGTCTTCCAATTTATAAGACAAATTAGGATATCTTAATCCTTACCTGTAGATGTTGACTAAGGCGTCAGGTACCATTCCAACAACTGAGCCGCATATGTAAGGGCCGTACTTTATCTGGGTGACAGTCACAGTGTAGTTAAGCATTGAATATGGGAAGGGTGAGATTCTTAACAACACAATCACCCGGAATTGCTTGAACCAACTCCCTTTGCTTGCCAGCTTAACCAGAGCTATCTCCCTAGGCCATTTCTTCTCTAACCATTCCTGTATATTCACAAACATTTAGTAGAAGGAGAGAAGCAAATTAAGATTCAAGATTGTGCCTACATACAAGATGAACTGCATCAAATGTATAACTCTTGAGTAGATTTATTAATGGAACCAAGAAACTTAACTTACATGTAACCGTTCACGGAACAATGAACCGATGAAATACGGTATCGACATTCCAATGGCTGTCCCAACCATGATGATCAAGAAACCGAAGCCATAGCCGAATATTATTCCAGTCAACCACATAGAGGGGCTAGAAGGCAGGAGGACAACCGGGAAGATGGCCAGAGAAGCAATGAGCACAATAGCCAACAGATGGCGCCCAAAAGATCTTGCCTCCCATCGCATTATCGGCAACAGCACCTACATTATCAGGCATGCAAATGGAAAATAGAATATGATAATTATATTGTACATTTGAGCTGCAATTGCTACAATCCAAAGACGAACTCATTGATTGTGTGCTTAACGGCAAAAGCCAGAGATGCAAATCATTTTCATTCTCATACCAATGGAAAATATGCAACAATGCAACACCAACAATTCAGCATACAGCAACATGATGGAATCAACTTAGAAAACTAGAAACTTTAGTGGCATGTGGTACTAGCCTACTACTATATCGTTCTTCTTTTTCCAAAAGAAAAAAAAATAATGTGGATTTAAGCATCGTCTAGATCACAAGGGATTAAATATTTCAACTAACCACATGGCTTGCTCTAAATTAAGATTTAGTCACAAAATTATTCGGTAAACAAAACACTGAATGATACGTCGACCAAATCCATATAATAGAAGTGTTATATATATTTCCAAGATGTATGGTATAATAGACTAATTAGTACTTCCTCCGTACAGAATGTAAGAATTTCTAGCATTGTCCACGTTCATATAGATGCTAATGAATCTTTATATATAATAATGTCTAGATTCATTAACATCTATATAAATATAGATACTGCTAGAAAGTCTTATATTAGTCTTATATTGTGAAACAGAGTATATTAAAAATCATAGTGATGAGGAAAAAAAATAGAAGGTAGAAGTAGAACCTTTTCTGACAACAAGGGGAGCCCCCACTCGTAGAAGGCGAAGATGATCGACCCCACAAGAAGACCTCCAACCCCCAGCCTCATCCACGCCGCGGGCGATCTCGCCACCGCCCTCGACCACCGGTAAGGCGGCGCCGCCGCCGGAGCCGGAGGCTGCTGCGGCTGCGGCTGCGGTGGCACCGCCACTGCCACGGGCGCGTCCATTCCCGCGTGTTCTTCTTCTTCTTCTTCTTCCCCGCTCCGCCGCCCCGTCCGTTCCTCGCCTGAAGGACCCGGCGCCGCCGCCGCCGCGGTGTCGCACCTGAAACCAAGAAACGCGAGTGCGGTCGAATCAGAGCGGCGGGGAGGTGTGACAAGCGAGAGCACGCGTGCTCGGGGGGTGCTTGCCTGGTCATGGCGGTGGCGCGCCGTGGACGCCGCGGTTGCTTGGATGCGGAGAGGGAAGGGCGAGGCACGCGTCATGGCGAGAGGAGAGGAGAGTGGAGAGGCCAAGGAAGGAAGAGGCAGCTGATAACGGGTCGGGTTTCGCCTCGCTTCCCCACCCCACACACCCGGACCCGCTAAGCCAGCGGGGTGAGGAGCGGGCCCCCACTGAAAGAGGCACGAGTGGGCCTGAGGTAATGAGGCCCATGGGCCAATACCATCACCGTTCGATCTAACTTGTGTGGGGCCCAGATCCATGCTGGGAAATGGGTTTTGTGGTCGGAGTTTGAAACTCCGAACCCCTCTTATGTGTTTGGCTAATAGGAAAGGGAAATTATTTCCCAAGACATCTTTAAATCCTAACTGTTCATCTTCCCTCTTTCATTCAATTCTAACCCTTCGTTCATTTTCCGATCATTTCCCATTATCCAAACACACACTAAGTTTTACGCAGCGTTCTGTTCTTCTTTTTTAAAAAAAATCCTAGAAATACCATTGATAAGCACCTAATTTTAAAAAATATCATTGATAACGATTTTGCTAGATATTTGTCATCAAATTTCTCCCCCTAATATTTGTCAGATGTAATTACAGTACAATCGTAGTGTAATTATACTGTAACTTGCATGTAATTACACTGTAACTATAATGTAACTTGTATGTAACTTTCAAGAATCTCTCGGTAACATGTTATTTCAGTAAAATAAAGGTCGTGGGAACAAATTCTTTCATATATGTGTGTGATGTGATTTTTTTCTTCCTCCATAGAACAAATCTTGTAATAGATCTAACGATTCAAAATTACGTGAAACTTACATACAAGTTACACTGTAGTTACATGCAAGTTACAGTGTAATTACATACAAGTTACATTGTAATTACACTACGATTGTACTATAATTACATCTGTCAAATTTTTAGTAGAAAATTTGTCGACAAATGTATAGGTGGTCCCCATTGATAATTACAAGTTTCATAAAATGCTACAGAGCGGGAGGGGGGAAGCTAGCGGTAGCGGAATGAAGAGGAAGAGGAGATCAAGGCCAACTGCAAGTCTGCAACTGCTGTTAATTTCTACTAGGTATCCATGGAGGAGAGCTCGATGGGTCAGATGATCTTGCTGGAGAATATGGTTTGCTTCCAGCTTTGTCTAGGCATGAGAGAAGAATGGCAGGCAGCCACATTCAGAACGAATCGCTTTTGAACATTTGCACTGGCAGTTTTAGTAGTTCACTCGACATCAACGATTCAAATGGCTTCAGGGTTTACTCTCACTGTACATTTTTTTGCGTGATCAGTTGTGTCAAAACAAGATTGCTGAATTGCACATGGCTACTACCATCGGTAGAGTGGCATATGATAATATTGAAGTATTTTTGCCAATCAGGGCAATCATACAGTTGTATTCCATTGGTAGAGTGGCATATGATAATATTGAAGTATTTGTTAGATATACATATTTCAGTTCTTCCAAATTTAGCCCATGCTTGCTGCAAGACTTTGCATGATACAAAGCAGGCGTCATATGCTAGCAACCAGCAAAAATGTTTGAATGAAAAAATTCACTAAATATCTACTGTGGCTTCAGCATTCGCCAAAGCCCAAAACGATCGGTTGTTCTCTTAATGCCCAGTTAATGCTGCTTCTTAGTTCCTCTGATCTGTACATGGTTTATAGCTTCAATTTGTCCATATAGGAGCTGAGCTTCAAAAGGCTCAGAAAACAGAGAATTTCTGGAATGCATCCAAGCTGTTTGACAGTAAACCACTTAGCCCTAAACTGTCTGTACCACTCAAAAGTCTAGAGCAATACGCTCCAAGCTCTGGCTCACCAAATTCAGGCTGAAAGCAAACAGATGAAGATAGACAAGAATCAGATCATCTTCCGAAGATCGAGGAAAAACAGCATCTTAAATTAATACATCAAAAAATTTGTGAAAGGCCCTAGTGAATACCAGTGATATGTATGGTGCCACATTGTCCTTACACGAGAGTGGTATATGAGGGCTTGGTTCCTCTTCCCAAACTTCAGTAAAGCATTGCTGCAGAGACAAGCGGTTAAGCATTGTATATTCGCATAGTATATTTGGCAAGAAAGGAAATTAGAGCAAATAAATAACAGCTAGGGAGGTACCTGGTCAACATCTGTGACACATTCTGGAATTGTGCCAAGGATGGATGAGGTAATAGCACCACTATGGTTAGGACCTGAACCAAATGTCCTGATTGAAGTTTGACTCTGCAAAGGAAATGCATGACAAGCTTCTTCAGCATCCCAAAGGGATGGGTTTGACACCTTCATTTGGTTACTTGCTTGTTGCTGACCAATCACAGAAGCAATAGCAGCGTCGAATGAATCGAAATTAATAGGGATCTGTGAGAAACTCGTATTATTTTGAGAAAGCAATTGCTTGTTGTCTGCAGAAGGTGCAGCTTCAGATAACAATTCTTCAAAGCTTATATTAGATATGCAATCAATCCATGAAAGCGGCGTTACTTTGCTTTGATTACCCTGTTTCAGAAAGCATGTGAAGAATGTCAGGTCGCAAGTGAAAATACCATTGGTGATGCTGGGAAAAAAAAAACTCCTAATACTCACCACAGTCTGTACTGCATTGTCCCCAACAGACTGCGCAGCAAAGTCATTCGGGAACTCACTCAAATGAACCGTTTGTTTCTGTTCCATGAGAACAGGATCCAGAGGCTTGTTGTCAATGATCTTGTCTACAGAGTGCACATCTTGTAAATTTGGTCCATGGCTTTGTTGCTCAAAATCAGGTTCAAACCAACCATATCTTAATAAACAAGAAAGAGCATTTTTTAGCCATAAGATCTGTATACAGCATGCATGGATGCAAAAAGAAGTAACCATATCTGGGGAAAAAGGAAACTGAACCTTAATCGAAATCTCAAAGGGCTGCCAACTGCAGCATGCACATCAGCAGCCGTGCAAGAATCACTATGAGTCCATTTTCCACTACCAGCTATGTTATCCAGTTGAGCATCATAAGGAAAGAGCATGAGTTCGCCTCTTGCACACTGAGAATTGCCCCATTTTATGTTCAGATGCTGCACAACTGAAGATATCTTCTTTCGTGGAGCTAAAGTCAATTCCAGGTAAGGATTGTGGTTTTCCTGCCACATTATATGGAGCAAAAAGACACATACTATGAAACCTGAAGAAGATTGTATTTAACAAATATATGAAACTCTTGCAAAAGCATAGGTGCTCACCTGCTGCAGAACCTTTTGAATTGCCTTATCTATCGGGAATAATTCAAGCTTGATCTTTCCAGAATGATTTGGTTGTCGGTTAGAGAAATTCTTAGAATCACAAAATTGTGCTTCCATTGTACTACCACCCTTCAACGCCATTTGATTTTCAGTGTACAATTGAGGCGGTGTGACCGCTACTCTGCACTTTGTGTTAGCATTTCCTGAAAAAGTAGTACTCTTTTTTTAGGACAGTTTGACCAATAGAACACGTTACATTATGGCATACGGAGAAGTACCTAACAGGTTCATGCAATTGTTTCAGTTGAATTATAGCAGCAGGCGTTTATTTTCCTATTCGAAACTTTGTTTGATTATAAATGCAGCAGGTAAACCATACCATATGAGTATAGGAAATTATGAACAAGACTTTTGACACTTCACCTGATGGTTTGTTGATATATTTGCCAGGTTTCAGGCTTTGCATCTTACTACAGCCTAGTTTTATATTTGCTCCTGTTTCAGTTGCTTTACGATGCTGCTGAGGCTTCATGCTTTCTGTTATTCAGCAGCAAATAGATATCCGGTGAAATATTGACTTCGCCTAAGAAATGTTAACTCCTGTAGATAGTAAGGAAACAATTAGCCTGTTCGCTGGTTATGTCCGAAAAGGACCTGTTTGTGCTGTTCATTCCCTTGAAAAAAAAGGTACCTATTTTTATTAAGAATGAAACACATTGTGCGTGGCCAGATAAAAAAAAAAGAACAGACAACTGACGTGTAATGATGTAATTATGAAATGAAAACGTCTGAAAACAACATTTTATCTGAAAGAAAAAAAATTAGGGAATGCTGAATTAAAAATTATGTACATCACATCGAAGACTATGGCCCAATTGTGTCCACACTGGGAGAAAACCCACTGATTCATCTATTGTGGTGATATAACAGGTCCTTTTCCATCACCAAGATCAAAGGTCGATAACTCGGTATTGAACAAATCTGATATAACTTTATTGACTCACTACTCTAGTATATATAAAAAATATATTTTGCACTGTTCTATGAACAAAAAATCGTAACGAGATTCGATGGATATAGTAGTATATTAGTATGTGCTACAAGCAAAATTTCTCCAAACATATTTTTTACTGCGCTAGGACCATTTATTCATGTGTTTTAAGACCAAAAGCAAGGAAGTGAACGCAAAGGCCGATTCCTTCCAGAACCTAAATCCCCAAATCATACCGTGGCCCAAACATTTTCTCAACCCCGAAAATTTCATGAACCAATTACCAATCAAACACCTCGCCGCACAATCCCACTACTCACCGATTCACAGTTTCACACCAACACAAGCGCATTCCTAGTAAACCATACCTGATCTCGAAACCCTAGATGTCGCAGACCCCCCGACCACCGGTAATCCGGAGAAGAAGACGGGGGCGGAGATGGCGGACCGGACACTGAATGCCGCCGCGGGAGGCCCACCCGCCGCCTGCTCCGCCGCGGCGCCACACGCAATGCTCGAGAACTCCGGCGGCGTCAGGCGGCGAGGAGGAGGAGAGCGCGGGAGGAGGCGGCGAGGCGACGGAAAATTTTTGCGCGGGGAAACTTGAACACCGGTTGCTTCGCTTGGCGCCACCCACTCCTCGCGCCTCTCCGACTTAAATACGCAATACTCCTCTCCTAAAAATAAAATATTCCGTATTTCCGTGGCGTATTAGAGTATTTTATACCTGTAGAGACGTAGTGGGCCTGGACTCCGCGAGGCCTAGAGAGAGATTCATGGGCTTCATTGCGAAGGCCTTTTTTAGGCCCCACCTTAGCTGGGCCCAAACGGTGAGCCCTGCAAGCCGGCCGGCGAGGAGGCGGCGCTGCGCAGCCACGTGGGAAGACGCACGCTCGAAGAAACATGAGAATGCACTACTCTGCGATATGCGTCCAGATGCATCACGGATGGATGGATCCGCAACTGCAGGAGCAGCAAAAGAGGTGTAAAAACGGTACTATCTCCATTCCATCCCAGAGTGTAATAACCATTCTAGAATTTGCTACATTCTAGAATGGAGGGAATGGAGAGAGTACAAGAATTTTCCTTCCATACCTACATCGTTTCCTCGAAACAAATATAACGACAATATCTTTATAAAACTAATATAACAGCAATATCTTTATGTCGATTCTAAAGTAAAAGAATTTAGTTTTAAAACTTATATCAGTGTCATATTAAAGTTGATACTAGGTAGTTAAATTCATAAATATGAAAAATTATTGATCGTTTTTATAAATAAAAATAACAAAGATGATATTGTTCTCGACCATTTTTCACCGTTTTCATCGACAGCCTAGCGGCAGAGGCAGAAGCTGCGGTGGCACGCATCCCACACGTGGGCGATTGCATGTCGCACACTCCATCCACTACTCCAGAGTCCAGAGCGAGCAGTACTGTGGCTTGTCTAGCTATGGCTCCTCTCATCTCACAGCTCACTCACTGTGCAGTCCATGTGCATCGACGACAGCTACAAGGAAGAGATATGCTGCTGCCTCTGCCTCTGCCTGCCTGCTTGCAAGTAGACTTGATGGTTCATGTCAATGCCTGCCTCTGCATGCTGCTGTTCATCCCCCCTTTCTTTTCCTTTTCTTCCCATTTTAAGCGTAAGGTTTCTTTGTCCAATGTTTAATCATCCATCTTGTTAAAAATTATTTTATGATAAGTATTTTATTATTGGATGATAAAACATAAATAATACTTTATATGTGACTTATTTCTTTTATAATTTTTAAAATATGATGGTTGATCAAACGTTAGACACAGAAATCTATAAATACACTTAAAAGTGTGACCGAGGGAGTACTTCTTTTCCAAGGAAGAACCGAAAATCACTTATTAGTACTCCATCTGTCTCAAAATATAAAGGATTTAGGTGGATGTGATATATTCTAATACTACGATGTGTCACAAAGTATGTCCAAATTCAAGTATTAGAATGTATCACATTCATCTAAAATCTTTTATATTTTAGAATGGAGAAAAGTACCGTTCTACTACCAATCCTCACAGCTCCAATGACAGCCTGAATTAAGATAACAACTGACGGAGATGTCTTATATGAAAAAGAGGTGGCATTAAACTAATGGCCACTGAAATTCTTTGTGCTGCTAATTAAGCTGCAGGCTTGGGCCTATCTAAAAATCATCATCCTTGCCTTTGTCCTCAAGATACTGGGCAATGTCACCATACGAGAGAGAAGCGAAAGGGGAAGGTAAACTGCATGACAAGGAAAGAATTGGATTTGGAGGCAGCTCATGCTTTCATGGACCACCCCATGCTTTTTTTTTTTTTTTGGTCCTAGAGTTGCAGTGATCGATCGATCTCCAATCAGTAGCCAGCTAGCCACCCACAAGAAGCAGCAACTAATCCAATCCTAGGTACAGTATAGTACTTTGCTTCTTACGCCTGCAATGCAAACTGGAGTAGAACTCCTATGCAAGTAAGCTAAGCTAGCTTCTTAAATTAATTACTCCAGTTAATAATCAAACCCAATGTCAAATCAACTCTCTGAACGAACGAACATTCACTGACAAATAGGTCCAGATGAATCATGATCAGGCTATCAACAGAGGTTCAAAGTTCAGTAAACTATGCAAGACAAGAAGAGGAGTAGTCTTAACTAATTAACATAGGATGTAAATTTACAGTTGTTTTTTATTTTACTGCAGTTTTTAGGTAGTGGTAAAAGTAAAAAAAAAAGAAAATTGAGGGGTGGGGGACACGGTTGTTCATATGCATGGAACCTGCCTATACCGGGGGTGGCGTTTATGACGAGTCATTCGCCGACGCATCGGCGTTGTGTTTGTTTGCTCGTGCCGGGCATATGGCATTGCATTGCTATTTGCTGGGCCGCATCGCAACAAGCCAATGCAACGCAGGACAGGAGGCCATTACCAATGGCAATGAGAGCGACTCGCTCCGTCCAATAAAATGAATGTAGAACATAAGTCACGTGTAAAGTACTATTTATATTTTATCATCTCATAATAATAAAAATATTAATTATTAAAAAATTTAAATAAGATTGATGATTAAAATTGAGCACGGAAACTCATGGTTGCACTTGAAATAGGATGGAATGGGTACAATGAATCTGGTTAGAATTATGTCCAAATATAGGGCTTGTTTGGCACAGCTCCAGCTCCAACTCCACCCCTCTTGGAGCTGGAGCTCAGCCAAACAGTTTCAGCTCCACTAAAACTGGGAGTGGAGTTGGGGCCGGTAGAGCTCTCTCACAAAATGTACTAGAGTTGTGGAGTTGTGGAGCTGCCTAAACCCAGCTCCATCTCTTTGGTTCATTCTGTGAGAGAGCTCCACCCAGCTCCGTTCCTATTTTTAGTGGAGCTGAAACTGTTTGGCTGAGCTTTAGCTCTAACTCCAGAAGAAGTGGAGCTGAAATTGGAGGTGTGCCAAACGGATCATAGTAGGCTAGCTAGGTAGGAATGCTTCACTTACCTGTCAATGTCGATGTCCCTGCACCCCGGCAATGAGCAGCCGCTTGTGTACTACGGACAGTTGCTTTGTGCTGTTGTTTGGAGTCCTCGCATGGTCCAAACTTCGGCGGGGACAATTATAATTATGCAGTGTGAATTGGCACATGTTATAACTGTAACTTTGTGGTAGTAAGATCATGCCATTAAATTTTAACCTTTGGGAGCTTAAGGCATGTTAGTTCACGAAAAGAAAATTGTTTGGGCATCACGTTGGATGTTTGACCGGATGTCGGAAGGGGTTTTCGGATACGAATGAAAAAACTAATTTCATAACTCGCATGGAATCTTTTGAGCCTAATTAATTCGTCATTAGTACATATTGGTTATTGTAGCACTTATGGCTAATTATGGACTAATTAGACTCAAAAGATTTATCTCGCGATTTTCCCCCTAACCGTGCAATTAGTTTTTTTTTAATTTATATTTAGTGCTACAAGCATGTGTCCAAAAATTCGATGTGTGATGTTTTTGGGAAAATAATTTATGAATTAAACGAGGCCTTACTATTATTTGCTAAGATTCATTGTTCAGAATGGTTTGACAGGTTGCTGAGGTTCAGATAGGATTTGCACAATGAAAACATAACTGAATTGATGAATCACCAACAGAGAAATTTACACGCTGTCGTGGGTAAAAAAATGGAGTGAAAAAAAATGTGTGGAGAATTTACTGTTTCATGATGAGTTGAGTGAAAGTAGGGAGCCGGAGGCCCGGAGCAGTGGAAGGTGGGAGAATTGAATACAGAGGAGGAGAAAGGAAGGATAGATCAACATCAGATGATCAGAGCCGAGAGCATCCATCCAACTGAAATTTTCAATATTTTATTCAAACCATTTATTTATTCAGCGCCCGGATTTAGAAACCACTCCCCAAAACCAGAAGAAAACATTAAATAAATTAAATTAAAAAAAATCCCCTCCTAATTCCTGCCCATTCTTCAATTCCTTTTCACCTCCTTTATGACTTCCCCTCTCTTCTCTTTCCATTTTGCCCTTCTGAATCTCATGTTATAATCCAATGAGTATTCCTAATAGTGAAGTCAGAATCAAAACTCGTTGGATGCGCTCCTCCTAATCTAGATGGCAACCGACATTCTTGGCCTGAGAATTCCTACTCCTGAGCTAGCCAAATAATTTAATCGAGTAGGCGATACATTGTCTACACGAGCGACCACCAAAATCGTAATATCATACTACATAGATTATTTTACCGAAGTCAGACTTAATTGTTCGAGACCGTGATTCAGAAAACATGTATTGCTGACAACAACATGGAGTGGAAGTGGATGAGCTTGATGGAGTTTGGCATGAGCTTAATGGACCGCAGGTCATCCACCATCTCCTCCACCATTGGATCTACACGATTGATACCTACAGCCACGCCGTCGAATCCGTTGCCCATTGCTTCAACGCCGGCGGGTCCACCTGGAGAAGAAGGGAAGGAGGAGGCTAGGGAAGGGATATAAGAGAACCGTAAGAAGCAACCCCGATAATTCTGAAGCGATATGGAAAAAATTAGGTTTCTGGATTCTAGTGTGTCCCGATAAAAATCAATTTTTGGGATGAGATAATGGGCTTGTCCGAAGAGCTTAAATTCCGAGAAGCAGCTGGTTGATAGACAGCTTATAAGGATATAGAAAAACTAGGTTTCTAGATTCTATAATTACAATTTTTTAGAATATTGACAAAAAGTTGAATTGTTTGGACAAAATTTCGATTCTAAGATAAGCTGGAGTTATCAGAAATTCCCCCAAATATGTCATTGGAGCACTACCAGAATAGTACTGACTATTGTTAACTTTAAGAAATACTCCCTCCGTCCCATAAAAAACTTAGTACTGGATGTGACACATTCTAGTACTATAAATTTAGACATCATTGTACTAGAATATGTCACATCCCGTTCTAGATACATTTTTTCCGGCACGGAGGGAGTATATATTTCTTCAAAAATTTAGAATAAACCTTCATATATGATTTTTTTTAGTTTGGAGGAAAGTAGGAGAGTATTTGATAGTAGTAGAGAAGAAGAGGGAGTAGCCCCAGCCCTCCGTCTAAACCGATCGCACACCCATCCGCCGGCGTCCTCAGCTCGATCTGCTGCCGAAATTCGGCGCGGCCGCCGCAGCATACACACTCTCCTCCCCTTCTTGACTCCCAACTCGCCGTCTCCTCCCTCCTCGCTGCTCTTGCCCCCGCCCCACGCGCGCGGTCCACTCCACCATCCCTTCCTCGTCTCCTCCGCTCCTCGCGCGTCAAGACGAGCCACCGCTGCCGATCTCCATCTGGCGAGCAGAGCAGAGGAGGGGATCTTGGTGAGCATCCCACATCCTCTTCCTGATTCATCTTTCTATCTCACCGCGGCTACTTTTGTCTGGAATTTGCGTGCTCGTTAACCCTAAGCTTCTCTTGTAGTAGATCTGGAAGAAGCTCTCCTCTTGATTTCAGAGCCTTAAACTTAGTACTACAAAGTAACAGTTTGTTCGTTTCTTTGTTCCCCAAAAACTGAACCCCCCATGTCCCAAGTTGGATCCGCCCCTGGGTGGTGGTGTTTTGTTTTTCCCTGCTCTGAATATGGCATGTTCAGATTTAACGGCACGTATGTATCTTAGTCCAATGTTGTGAAAGCATAATCCCATATCCAAAGATTTCTCCTTTCTTTCTCTTCTTCTTCCTGTTCTGTCCTCGATAGAGGGTTTTCTCTTGCAACTCAACTTGCTTTTATTTCTTCACCAGTTGTGTTGAAAATTTTCTAGTTTACTACTGTACTTGTCTTTTTTAGGAAAAACTTCGACATTACAGAATTTGCCTGATAATAGTAGCGTGCCTTTTAGCTGCTCTCTTCAAGAGCTGATCAGTCAGAGGAGACATTATTAACTATGCGGTTAAAAGGGGATTAATTTCCTTGCTGGTACACTAGAAAGGAAGATATTTTGCTAAAGGTGAAGCCTGCTCAAAGCAAAGCCGAATGGCACATGATGCAAGTTATGCAACACTACGCGAACTCATCCACAGTTGCTGTAACCTTCAAGTGCATAGACATTACCTGTCTGGAAACAGGCTGTACTTTTGTTCACAAGTGATTGAAAATTTTGCTTTTATTCAGACTTGCTTGTTTAGTATGCACTCCAGATATGAAAAACTCGCTTTCCCCGCGTTCTTATTCTAGGCTATTGGTTTACTTCCTGATCATGCATTATGATTCTTGATTGCTTTTGATACACGATTCTCTTCTTGGATGCATAATGTCTTACTGGCAGCAAACTATATTATGTGTATTAACATCTCTGGAGCTTAGCAGGGTGAAAACGAACAGTGTCTATCTACATTATCAAATTGACTTTTAGTTTGTGATTATTTGGCCTTATTCAAGCTATTCTGCATATGATATGTTTTGAGATGTTCTTATTATATTTAGATCATCCGCCTTTGTTCATACATTCATGTAAGTGTTCTCACTCTACAAACTTAATAGGTGTAAGTTTGTGAAGCATCAGAGGACAGTTGCATCAATAAAGTTGTCTCACGATGGCCTATGATGGAGATGAGGAACAAAGCCAGGATTATCTATTCAAGATTGTTCTACTTGGTGACTCTTCTGTCGGTAAATCAAATTTGCTGGCAAGATTTGCAAGGAACGAGTTCTATCCAAACTCTAAATCTACTATTGGAGTGGAGTTCCAGACACAAAAGTTGGTAATTGATGGCAAGGAAATCAAAGCTCAGATATGGGACACTGCTGGACAAGAGCGCTTCAGAGCAGTCACATCTGCCTACTATAGAGGAGCTGTTGGAGCCCTACTTGTTTATGATATTAGCAGGCGTCAGACTTTTGATAGTGTTGGTCGATGGCTGAATGAACTGCACAGTAAGAACCAGCATTTCACTTGATTTCTTCAGTATCAAGTTCATCCCTTTCAAAGCTTTTGCTTCCCCAGTTCGTAGTTGTTAAATGTGCTGCAGTGTTACATATTCGAAATCACTTGGACTAAAAACTTACTTGGTTTATGTTCTTTTTAGCTTCTTTCATAGCCTACCATATCTGACCCCTTCTTTTTAACTACGACAGCTCATTCCGATATGAATGTCGTCACAATTCTTGTTGGCAACAAGACCGATCTCAAGCATGCGCGTGAGGTGAGCACCGCAGAAGGCAAAGCTCTGGCTGAGTCACAGGGCCTCTTCTTCATGGAGACCTCAGCCTTGGACTCATCAAATGTCGCGGAAGCTTTCCAAACTGTAGTGAAAGAGATATACGGCATACTAAGCAGGAAGGTATTTCAATCTCAAGAGCAGAAGAGAAGCGAGCAGTCATTAAGCAACGGGAAACCCGTGATGCTGAGCGACTCCAACGAACCAACCAGTGGTGGGAGGTGGTGCTGTTCTTCATAGAGCCTGTAAGACACCTTCTCTTGCCTAACCTTGCTCTATCTCTACGACTCTACTCTTATGATATCAATCCTACATCGTGTTACCTTATTCGGCACCGCTCTGATGATCACCAAAACCAGAGATTCAGCGGCTTATCCTGATCTATTGCACGATGAATCGCAGGACCTGATGACAGAGCCCTGGTGTAATGCCATGGGATTGGGAGACACATCTGTCCATGTACTGCTTCAGGTTTGGTTTAGTGAAACAAACAGTGGTTCCCACCTTCTTCTCTAGAGGTAAGCTGGCTGAGTGAGGTTGGTTGTATGAAAAAGGCGTGTGTGCTTGCTTTCCATCAGAGGAAAAATCTCAATGTATAGTTCGATTGATCCCCTTTCTGAGGTATTGGGTATACGTGATTGTGTAAAGGAAAAAGTGTGACCAACTGGGCTGTTGTGTCATTCTCTCTACATCATTCTAGCCTTAGATTACTTGCTTTTTTGCCGTGCTTTAGCGATCTTGTATTCTTGTTGTTCTTCAGCTCAATAGCTCTACATACCTTACATGCGTCTTAGTGCAGCGAACTGCTAAACATGACAAGCAACAAAATGTATTTAAATATTATGCAACCTGGTTAGTGCTTGGCAAGTCGGCATTCAACCTTTAGCAGTTTATTGATTGCCAGGGACCACTGTCACAGTAACTGTCACTCTATGACACAATATCAGGGCGATTTTGCTAGTCCAACATTATTGGATTAGGCTAATTTCCATTTCGCAATTGCTAAATTCGATGGTTTTTTTTTGTGCAAAATCTCAAAACCAAGCCAGTTCATGTTTAATTTTATCCTTGAACAATCTTCTTCAAAACCATCTAGTATAGATGGCTGCCTCATTTCCCTGGGACATTTTACTATTTACCACTTTTAAGATGTGATATTTAATAATTTATCAAGTTCATGACATGTGAGCTTTCATATTGTTGGTAAATTGTTAAATGTCATATCTAAAAGTGACAAATAGTTAAATTATCTCCATTTCCCCATCTACCATGGATAAAGGGAGCAGCAGCAGGTGAGAAAGCAGCACACACAACATCTGCATCTGCATGGTATCATATCTCACCAAATTCAGGTACAGTACAGTCCACATCAAATGATGAGGACATTATTAGGGATATCGTCATGTTCTACTACTAGGAGCACCACCATCATGTCTTCACCAAATCATTGTAGCTCAATAACGACTGAAAGCAACCACGAAAGCTGACCGAAAGAACACCTTACCTGAAAGCCTGAAAACCGCAATGACGACTTCACTAATCAGCATCAGCGTACAATGCCACTGCTGCAATACTGCATCATCATCCTTCTCATGAACCGAAGAACAGTATTGGCACTGAATTACACAAGTTCATAAGGCCGTAAAAGTGGATGAAATGGATGGCGACGATCGCAATCTGTGTCGTTGCAAAAATGTTCAGCAGATTCAGTAGCAGTTGAATGCTTTTCCCCCCTTTTATGGCTCTCCAAATTTTCAGAAATATATTAAATCGTGGTGGTAGAGGAATATTGCACGAAGGCAAAGTCACAAGAAATGCTAGGAATATTGTGGTAGGATTTTACTATTACTAATCTAACTGATATCTGATGATTGATATTACATTATGACGAGACATTATGAGTTCATCGTCTCGCTACAATGAATAACTCACTCACTCACTGGCTGCGTCATAACTTTCCGCCTGTTCTTCGATAGCACAGGCTCTGTGAATTACAGAGCCAAATCTGAAGTCAAGTGCCTGAAAAAGTTAAAAATTGGATTTTTCATCGACAGGGATACTGCGATAAACAGAAGATGCACGCAAGCAGGTTGTGTTGATAGTTAGAACTAAAATCGTAAACATCAAACATGTTTTTTTTAACTAGATAATGGAAAGAAACACAGGCTCTATATCTCCAAGCTAAATTCTCTTGATGTACAGGAATTTAGAGAAGTAAATTCTCTAAATTCTCTTGATGTGGATTGGCAATAACAATAAATAATCAAACAGTAAATCAGGGGCAGTAATCTTACCACGATAGGAAGCTGTTCATCAAGCTGACGCTGAATTCCCCACTTTGCACTCACCATTCTTCAAACCGTCCTCCTCTGAATCATCAGCCGCAGCAATGTTTTCCTCTTCCTCCTCAAACTGATTTTCAATTTCAACGAGAACAAAATCATCGTCGTCCTGATTTGCGACGAGGACGAAATCCTCCTCCAGATCGTCGTCCTCCGACTCCGACTCCGACTCCGATCCGGCCAGCGCCGGCTCACCGCTCTCCTCGAGCAACCTGGCGACATCAGGATCGATGGCATTCTCGATCCGCGTCACCTCCACCTCCACCGCCGCCGCCGTCGCCGTGGTGGTCTCCTTACCGGAGGAGCCGATCCGAACGCGGCTCGCGTCGTAGGCCTGAATCGCAGAGGCGAGCAGGAGGATTAGATGCCGATGAGAATGAGATGGCGCGGCGGGTTCATATGAGATGAGAAGGAGACCTTGACGTCCACAGGGGGGCCGAAGTGCGCGCGGGCGTGGCGGCGGACGGGGAGGAAGGCGGCGGAGGCGCCGCCGCCGCCGGTGGAGGAGATCGAGGGGCGGATCTCGCGGAGGTGGGCGAGGTAGTCGTAGCCGTCGTCGGGCAGGCCGAGCTCCAGGATCTCGCGGCGGACGTGGTCGGGGAGGGGGCCCGTCTCGCCGGAGGCGGAGGAGGAAGGCGCGTCATCATCTCCCTCTCCCACCGCCGCGGCGGCGGCGCCGCCGAGAACGTCGTCGTCGGCGAAGCCCGGGACGTAGTAGGGGTTGTTGTCGACGCGGAAGAAGACGCGGTCGGAGGCGTCGGCGGCGCCGGGGCGCGGGCAGAGGCGGAACGTGGCGAAGTTGCGCGGCTTCCGGCTGCGTCCCCGGCCCATGGCGGCGGCGGCGGCGGCGAGATGAGATTGAGTGGTGGTGGCGGCGGTTGCTTGGTGGGGAAGAAGTGGGTGGAGGAAAATGCGGGGGACGAGGCGTTGTCTCGGCCTTGTTCTTATGAAATGGGCTGGGCCGAAATGAAGTTTTCGTTGAGCCCAAGTTAATCTGTTAGTATTTTTCTTTCTTGTTTCCTACGGAAAAATATGCAAATTTATCTTTACTTTCTTTAGATAATACTACGTAAAGAATTTAAACAAAATCCTAATAGAACAAATTTATCTTTCGTAAATCCTGATAGAATACAGATGTAACAAATTTTAAAATTTCCCAGAAAAAGTTGTACTCTCTCTCGCTCTAAAAATGTGTGTTTTTGTTATTGACGTATTACCTCTGTTAGTCTTTGATTTTTTTTGGAAATCAAACTTATTTAGATTTGATCAAATTTATATAAAAATATAGAAATATTTTTAACACAAAACAAAGAAGCTATTAAAATATATTGAATTTTAGATTTAATTGCTATAATTTTTTATAAGTTTGGTTAAACTTAAAGAAACGTCATAGCGGCTTAAGTATGAAATGAAACGGAGAGAGTAGTTTTCAATGTATATGTTTTACCATTATTTTCTCAAACCGTGTGTTTATAAAGACACTACAAATATAACTGTGATACAGTTTTTCTTCACAAATCTACCAACACGTTTTCTCTACATATTTTACATCCATTAATGAGATTTCGAGGTTTGACTGCGCGTCCTTCTGATAACGGATGTACTACTCTGCAAAGTTACTCAGTACAAACACTAATCCGCAGATAAGAAAGGGAAGAACAACAAAAGATTCACAAATGAGGCAATTCTTATTGATCCATTCATTCATTCACATCAGTAGTTCATTACATGACAGGTTCATTCATCACACAAATCACCGAGTACACCTCACGCCATTTTTCACCGTCTTCCTCCCTCTCTTGATTTTTGCAGTAAGCTAGTGTCATTGAGGAAAAAAAAATCATCCACTAATTAATTAATACCATGGGAAAGGGAGCATGCACGGCGACATGGAGGACGGCGTCTGAGCAGCTCAGGCGAGCACGGTGGTCTCGACGGCGGCGGAGCGGAGGTCGACGGCGGCCTGGGCCAGCTGGGCCTGGACGTGCTCGCCGGCGGCCTCCCACAGCTCCGGCACCGCCTCCTTGATGTTGTGGATGCTCTCCAGCGCCACGTCCGCCCCGGCCACCGCCGCCGAGCTCCCCACGATCACCGTGTGGAATCCGGCGGCCTTCCCGGCGGCGATGTTGCGTGGGCTGTCGTCGAAGAACACCTGCATGCACATATGATCATGAGAGTTTCTTTCAGAAATTCAGAGTTTCAGGCTTTCAGAGTTTCATCATCAGTTTTTGATTTGCTTTTACCGTCTTCATGGCGTCGAGCTTGGCGATCTCGATGACGGCTTCCATGGATTCCAGGGACGGCTTGCACAGGATCTTCCTCTTGCGATGAGAAGCTGAGCTGTCAGAACTGCTGCCTCCATCGGTACTGTCAGAGTCGTCTTCTTCAGGTTCAGTCGATGGGTTCAGAGTCTCGAAGCAGATGATCCCTTCGAAGCAATCCTCCAGCCCGAGCTTCTTCAGAACCGTCGCGGCGTGCGCCTTGTCAGAGTTTGTGAATATCTGCAGTTGATTATCACACACACAAATCATGCAGTGCAATCGTGTTCTGAGAAATGATTAAAATTTGAAATGCAGGTGATTTCTCTTGCTGACATGGTAGAAATTTGGATGCTGGAAAACTATCAGGTATCAACTTACAATCTTCCTTTGTGGCAGTGAAAGCAGTAGGTGCCTCAAGACAGGGTCAGGCTTCAGCTTCTCGTATGGCAATGTGCCATGAACACAAGCGTGGAAATCGTCATAGTCGAAATCATAACCCAAGACCTATAAAAAAATTAACGCAAAATTAAGAGACATAAATGGTATAGTATGCTAAAATTACTAAATAACCAAGGTGCAATGTGCTAGGACAGATATACCTTCAGTCCAGCCATTGTAGTTCCAAATTCCCTGTACAGATCAAGACACATCTTGGGAACAAGGCTCTCTTCAATCTGAAGCTTGTTCAGCATATAGTCTGAAATTTCATATATACCACTTATATGAACAAACAGATTTTACAGATCGCAAAATTTAGACAAATGTAAGTCTGAGAGCTTGATTTTACCTTGTATGTTCTTGCGGCAAGCTAAGTTGATTCCTAAGCTCAGTGGGTACAGAGTATCATCCATGTCTGTATATGTGTGACAGAATGTTAAACGTTCAGAAAGTTAGTGGCTGATAAGTAGATGGATGAAACTGTCAGGTAGGTACTTACCAAACAGCAAACAATCAAACTTGGCTCCAGCTGTGTAGGATTCCATCTTTACAGGTTTGCTAGAGCCTGCAATAAATTAACTGTGAGCACAGCAACCTTAAATCATTGAAAAATTGTATCATTTGCAAAAATAAAATGTTTATAGCATCATATTGTTATAAATATTACTCTACTTTTTTTTCCTGTTTCGATCGCATTTATTGGGAATTATAGTCCGTGCTATTATTATCTCCGGAAACTCAAAGGTTTGGTCTAGCAACACCATGGTCATGGTTATGGATCAGTCACATATCAACTAGTGTACAATACAAAAGAAGTTGCCAAATCAAACTATTAGATTGTCTCTGAAACAGCTGAAAACCGATGAAGTGTGAACAAGGGAAATACAGCCTTGCGACAATATGAACAATTAAGTAAGGGAAAACTCGAGTTATGCAAAGCATTCAGCGAATTTTGTAAGAAGAAATGGTGATCAAAACTAAATCTTTTCATAGAGACCAGTAAAAAAACTGTTTTCAGGTCTGTCCATGAACAATTAGACCAAAAAACATAAGAGAAAGCCATATGCAACTTGAAACTAGAGTAAGCTCAGAGAGGATCATGCTCGCTAATTGGTTCTCAAAGAAGCACTGAAAATAATCAAACTACATCAAGAACAAACTATAATGTCACCACTATCATCTGCTTAATTACAAATTACCAACTGTCTGAGAAAAGAAACGGAGGAAGAACACTGAAAGTCTGAAACAGCAGCAGAGAGAGAGAGAGAGAGAGAAAAAAAACAGCAAATGGACATGCATGTACCTAGATGCTAAACGGAAGCACAACACAATGCCCTGGTTGATTCCATCTCACCTAGTATCCTCTATTTATACTAATCGTTGTGCTTATTGGAAGATGACACATGGTAGAGACAGCAATGGGTGTCTGAAAGAAGCACATACACACATCTCCTCCACCACACAACCAGCTAAATTTATTCAGGTTTCTTTGCTTTATTATCTTCTGGGATTAGTTGCTTTAGCTGTCATTTTTCCATCAAGAGAGCATCAGAGAGTGCCATCCTACTCGGCCACCTGTATATGAGTACTCTCACAGTGTTGAAAGATTTGCCCAAGTTGAAAGCTAACTTTAGCTTGGATGCAACCGACATAGTTGATAATTGGACATGGGTGATGGTGATGTGGCCTTGTCGTTGCCATCATTACAATGGTGTGATTAAGGTGATTAAAACGCATGATACGTGCTGAATAGTGATTAATTTCTTGGAGTCACCCTGGCATGGACTTGTTTGGTAATGATGTGTGAAAAATGTTGAAGTGTTAGTACTAAAGTGTGTCTTCTCCTCGTGGAATTTTTTGGTGCAATGTACCGTGCAAATCACATCGCTTTCGTTCCATATCTGTGCTGTTGATGTGCCGTGGTGATGTGTTCAAGCTCAAGAGCTAACTGTTTTCAGTGTTAAGTGGAAAAAAAGCTCACTGTTTTCAGTGTCCTTTTTTGTATGTGCATCGCAGAGAAAAAAAAAAGCTGGGCTAAGTGGGTTCAGTGCACGCATGAGCTTCAGTTTAGAAGAGGAAAAAAGAAAGAAAGATATGTAATCTTATACTATTGTAATATGATATTCCTTTTGTTATATGCGTACCTTTCTTTGTTTTGGATTGTTCTCTGCGTACCAATCAACAGAACAATCAATCTGTTGAAACGACGATGAAACAATGCTTAATTGCTTCTACTTTGATAAACACCCTCTCTTGATTCTGGCTTGGTTTACTGTTGCCTCCTTCCCTTAGGAATTTATACCATAGATATGCTAATCCGAATCCGAATCGAATCCAAATCCTAATACTACTTAGATTAATAAGTAATTAGTTAGCAGTCCTTTTTTTTAATCAACTCTCGTTCACCTAGTCCTAATAGGATTAGAGTTACGTACTCCCTCCATCAAAGCAGCGTTAACTTTTTTAGATACGTTTGGCTATTCATCTCTATCTCTACTATTATAAAAACTAAAAATGTTTTTGTCTATATTTTGGTACGTCATCCGTATTTGAATCGGTTTTTAAGTTCGTTCGTTTTTGGAAATACAAATCCGTGTTTAAGTTGGATTTTAAGCTTGTTTCCTTTTAGAAGTACAGGAAATCTTTTGAAAAAACTCTCATGCTAACTTAAGATGAAATACGGACTACTAATTGCAACTCACTAAAAAAATGTCCAAGCGAATTCCCACAATGAATTTTACCCTAGCTAAACTGTATAGCAATAATAAAATTAAAATAGCATTTACCCGTTGTAACACATGGGCATATTTTCTAGTCTTTTTAAAAATTTTATATAATTATTATTTATTTTGATATGATTTGATTCATCATTAAATTTTTCTAAGCATAACTTGTATCTTTGTATGTTTGCAAAAAAAAAAAGAATAACATGGGTGGTTAAACGTATCTTAAAAAAATTAACAGCATCATATATTAAAAAATAAAGGTAATATTACAACATACTACCTCCGTTTCAGGTTATAAGACTTTCTAGCATTGTCCACATTCATATATATGTCAATAAATCTAGACACATTGACATATATATGAATGTGGACAATACTAGAAAGTCTTATAATATAAAACTTGACATATATATGAATGTGGACAATGCTAGAAAGTCTTATAATATGAAACGGAGGAAGTAATTCCTTACTCCAATCTTCCTTTTGTTCTCTGTAACCTAACAGACAAAACAAACAATCTGTTGAAACAAAACCCAATTTTCTTTATCACCGAGAAAAAGCAAATCCCATTTGTATGCCCTGCACTTACAGTTCATGAGGTTAGGTTGCATTAGGCACCAATTAGGCAATCTCTTTTTTCAGTACGATGCAAAAGCCTCAGTGGAGATGAGCAACCTGTCCACTGACGATGGCTTTATATACATATCGCAACTAACCCAGCTGCACAGAAACGAACTGTCTTTTTTCGGCTTAACCATGGGGAGACATGCCATGAGCTTCGTTGGTTGCGTTGGATCTGGACAGGTGTTCGTCCTCCTCTCTCCTTCGATAATTCGATTCCTGGCTAGACAAGCACCATGGGAGAAAGAAAAGGCAGAGTGCATTGCTGATACACACACCAACCTGTCCGTCACTCAACTCGCCCCTGATTCTCTCATCTGCACCTGCCTGACGAATCCGGCACGCTACTGGAACTGATTCAGAGAGATTAATTTGCTTTCTTCGGTTCAAAGTGATTGTAACCTGTTCTTGTTCTTGGTTTAAGACTTTCAGAGGAGGTTGAGGTGATCTAGTAGAAGCAGATGCTGATGAGATCATGAGAATAATCGATTTGTTGATGCTAGTAGCTTCTTTTGCTGGAGCAAACAACCTGAAAAATGACAAGCTTGAGGAGATTATTCTTTTTTTTCATGTTTTTGCGTCGATTATGCATTTTGCCAATCGCGAGGGAGGGGATGAAAGGGAAAGGAGTGGCGTAGGGAAAGTAGAATTTATTAGGCAGGCCACATTAAAGGCTTAGGCTTTTGGAAAGGGAATAATTAATAAAGTAACTAACATAAATTATTATTTAGTGGCAGAGAAACATCATCCTATAAGGCTACCATTATTATCATTCTATAAAAAATAAACGCGAATATTAGGGAATGATATAATATCAAATAAATAGAAGGAGTGAGACTTTGAACACAAGCCGGCGAGCTCACCACCTTGTGGAGTTAGCCGGAAGACCCCTGAATATTTATCAAAAGACCTAATATCATTATATGCCTATGAAATTATTTAGGGTCTAATTTTAGGGCCCTTTTAAATCACATAAATGAAAAAAAACGAAGAAATAGAAAAACACATGATTCTAGTAAGAATTTAAGTGCAAAACAGAGAATTAAAAAACACAAAAAAAACACACACAAATAACCGTTTGATTGAACTGCATGAAAACGCAGGAATCGAATAAAAGGGATAGACTCAAAAAAGAAAATTTTCAAGATGTTAAAGTTCTTATAAATTTTCTTCAAAATCTTTATAAGATTGTCTATTTCATAGGAATTTTAAATGATAGAATAGGATTCAATCCTTTGTTTTAAAGACTTCCATAGGAAATATTTCTGTACGATTGAAATCCCACAAAATATTTTTTTCCAACAAATCGGGGCCTTTATTAAGCTATGAATTGCTAGATATGGTAAAAACTAAGAAGACGACAGATAATCTGAGCAGCGAGAAAATGATGTCAAGGTAAAAGAAAAATGGAAATACAGCAGTTGTACTAATATCTTTTGATGTTGTAGGAAGACACAAGTGGTGGCTGTAGTTTAGTGGTGAGAATTCCACGTTGTGGCCGTGGAGACCTGGGCTCGAATCCCAGCAGCCACAAATAAAATTTTTATTATTGCTGAGTTGGGGTTTATTTTGGATGGGCCTGAGTTTGGCAAAAGGCCCAAATTTTGGGCATTATTCCTGCTGGGCCCAAATTTATTTTGGGGCATTATTCTTGCTAGGCCCAAATTATTTTATTCTTAGCCCAAATTACGATGATTGATTGTTCGGGCTAAGTATGGGCCGTCGGAGTCGCGGTCCAACTTCCCGTATGCAATTGCAGCTGCTACTGCATATGGACCAAATGCACATCACTGTTTCAGCAAAATCTTTTTTAGCCGGGTTGACCAAGAGACACGGCCAACCAAATTTTATTGAGATTATAAAAGAAAAAGGTTACAAATAAACAATTTATAAATCTAACCGATGAGAGATTGCTGGGAGAACATTGTGCCTAAATGTGGTGAAAGAAAGGCACCACGAAACGGAAAATATGTAGTGCAAACCACATTTGCAAGTTAAATTTTAACTCATGATGACGTGGACGAATCTCGGATGTCCATTTCTCGATCCAACGGTAGTTTTCAAGTTTTCACTACATATGTGGTTTGCACTACATATTTTCCCACGAAACTACAGGCCAACCAAAGCAAATAGAGGCTATCCATCAAGGGATCGCTAACTAGCGATCGATCCCTTTTTTTTTTCACCACTTTTCCTTTTTTTACCATATAGTTTTTTTTAAGCTTATATACCCAAAGTTTATACATCTAGGATTTACACATTTTTTATAGGTCAAAAGTTTATATACTGATTCAAATTTGAATTTGAATTCAAATGCATTTAAAGATGAATTTGAATATGTTTTAGGTCTACAAACTTTAGGTGTACAAACTTGTATAAACTTTAAATGTGCAAACTTGATATGTATAAACTTAGTAAAATAGGAAAGTAAAACGGTATACCGTGTGGGGCAGGGAACCGATCGCCCCAAGCGATGGATCGCGCCATAGGAGTTTCGTATCCATCAGGGGATTCGAGCAACCTTTGCGGTCTTCCAAATGGTTATCTCATCTCTAATGTCGTTCAATATGAATAATTGGAGAGGCGTTCGAGCACGCTGATTCAGCAAAAGTGAAAAACCTCCTACACTACTTGCTCTGAACATGGTTAGTTACAGCCAATGAGAGTCAACAAGCCAAGCAGCAACAGCATAGGAGTATGCGTGAATGCGATCCTGATGAATAATAAGCAGCACCAACACTCGCTCCATTTCCTTTCCTTGGCTGTTCCTGTTTTTTTTTTTTTTTTTTGGGTGGCTGTTCCTGTTCATATGCCGGCCCGGCTATAATAGATTGATGCGTTGAACTTCTTACACAGACGAGACAGCCGAACATGTTGTCTGATTGTCTGAAGACTCTGAACCTTGCTTGACCCATGCTACAGATCACTCTTCCCGGTTTCTGTATTTCTACTCGCCTTTTTTTTTAAAAAAACATTTAGCGCAAGATTCAGCGAATATAAATATGGCAGGCAGGTCACTTGTTCAGAGTTGGGAGTAAATTATCTGAAGCAGTAGCAATGCAAAATCAGGCATATGCAGAGCAGATCCATGT